TTTCAGAACATGAGACACGAAGTCCCATAAGATGATAGGTCTATCCTATACCTCGTCGGTGGTCTAACTACTCAGAATTCATACTTTACCGATAATGTCGGGTATCAACACTGAAATGATAACGGGGCTTTGGAGCCCTCGAAGTATATGACAGAAAATTACATTGCACGTTAGGTCTATTCTACATCCCGTCTGTGGTATTTACAACTAAAATACTATCTGGGTGTTAAATTATCTCCGAAAATTGGGCCATGAAAATTGGATGTTAAGCGCTATTCATATACATCAATTGTGCTACGAAACCTGCGTAACCTATTTCTCATGTCCAATGATAAAATAGTAAGGACAATAAAAACGTAGAGGTTATAAGTAGAGGAATAAATAATGCAATATCATGAATAATTGTTGTTTACTATACAGAAGAACACCCTCATCTGACTTACATAAATTAGCATAAACACACAAAACTAAATACATATACACATAGTCGAAGTGTGGGGACGTAACTAGTCGATAAGGCAGGTTGTCCTTTGGCTAGAGAATCAGGGTGACGGGAGAAAGGTGAAAGGTCAAAAGCAGCACGGGATATCGACTCGTGGATGTCGAGAGGGAGAGGTAACCTGGCCGCGGGTACGAGGGAGGGCAAGTGTGAAAGCGGGTTGCCCTAGAATCTGTAAAGGGTTCCACTCCGCGTCTGATTTTATACGTATCGTGTACGTGTGTACACCTTCAATACCATTCCCGAACAGGATATGAAACGCAATTCGGACACTTTCTACGATGTATATTCGTCGAAATGACGAGCACTTTTGCATTTCCTGCGATTTGAATTTTCGGGCTCTGTTAACCTTGGTTTCGTATTATTGACCGTTCGACGCTCGATGTTATCTTCACCTGTGTCTATCAGTCGCTGTGTAATTTTACAAGGTTCATGAATATTATCGAATGTCACCCCGGGTCACGAATAAAATAAGAGCAAAAGACGTGCAGAGAAGGTTGCATGTAACATTTCGGATCGGAAGTGCATTATCCTACTTACGTCTCCTATTTGACCACCAAACTGTTAAGCCTCTATGCGCGATATAGTTCATGGTCCACTTTTAAAAGAATCATTCTTCCGTAGGGGATGAAAAAATAATTTGTAATTCTTTCTGAAAATTTTGACGATGATTTATGGATTTTTAATGATATTGGGTCTATTGGAAAGTCCTATCGGTTTTGGAATTAAAAGGAAATAATAAATTTATTATGGAATCCATGAATTACCATCAGGCCGGGAAGAGGTCAATAGTAATGATGGAAATTATATTGTTCTGGTATACCTAATACATACACCGAACAGATTGGCAGATTTTGAAATTTTCAGAAATAGATTAGAAGAGTTTCATATATACGATAAACCGGATACGAAGACACTAAGTCATGGATAATTAATTTCGTCGCAGAAAGTGTCCAGGGATAAATGCACCGAGTAAAAGGAGTCTATAGCCGCTGTGTTGTAACTGTTTTTCACTGTAAAGCTGATCGATACGGTTCGATTTTACGATTTAGTTCAGTACGGAAACGAAACGTGTCGATTGTGCGTGACTGATTGTAGTATGAGGTATATATGTATACTATAATATCGAACGTCAGCACATCTACATATATGCAATGACGCAAACACTTGTAAAAAAAATCTTGGTTAGAATATTGTGTGTTGAAAGATGCCCCTTTAATTATACGGAAACAAGATAATTGGCAAAGTATAATGTAATGGATCTATTATAAAGGCCTCGTATTGAAGTAATAATCATGCAAAATAATCAGAAAGTACTTCTCTGAAACGAATATTCTGATAAGTAGCCCCCTTTTAAGTAGTTTACCAGTGGATTTGTATTCGGATATCGATTGCCAAGCACAAGAAAATGATAGCCCGCTTCAAATAGTGGTAATAGCAAATGAAAGGAACTGTTGCCTATTAGAAGGGGCCTCCTTTTAAGTAGTAGCAGTAGCTGATACACCAGCCAAAGGTTGCCTACATCAAGGGGCCTCTAGGTAAGTAGTAGTAACGAGTGACTGGTCAGACAACGGTTGCCTATAAGAAGGGGCCCCTTGTCAAGTAGTAGTAGTGGCTAATATGTCAGACAAGTTAGTACAGGGGGGCTGTTTTCAAGTAGGACAGATGAATAACCTAGATTGTTACTGTCCATAGGAGGACGAAATAAGCGTGGGCTCGTATCTAGCGGCTAGGGTATGGAAAATATATTACATAAATCGGCTAAAACTAGCAAAATCTAGAATAACAATTATAATACAACGACAAGAACAAAAAATTATCAGAATTAAACAAATCCGTACAAATTTATTAGTAAACTTCATCTGGGGCCCCAGCACGAGTCCTGCTCAAGTATTACATCGCATCAATAGGTGTCGATTCGCAGGGGGCTAATTTTACAAGTTCTCTATACATCCCTATCCAAACAGCCTATAACCCGTGTACGCCCGTAATCTATCGCGTTCGCGCGAGAATATCTGTGTGTGAGAACGTATACACACGTACGCTCGCTTTTGCCAACCACTGTGGATACTACTCGTAATCGAGCGGCGTAGCGCGCGTGCGAGGGCAACAGGGTTGGGGGGGTATAGCTGTCGCGAGCTGTAGGGCAGAGGTAACCGCGCGCGCGGTTCGGTCGTGCGGTGTGCTCAGTCGGTGTGGTTGCACGGACGAAACGGGCGCGTCCACGAAGCACAGGGATAACGATGGAGGCTGCGTTAATCGCTCGGTGCGACGAGTGATACGCGCGGCGTGTGTGTAACAACACCGGGGGACAATATATCGTGTCCTGGATTCGTGGCCTCGCGTTTCCTCTTGGTGCGCGCGGCCCCCTACCGCCCCGACCCCTCCTCCTGGCCCCTCCCCCTTCGTCGTCAGGCCAGCCTCGTGTGTGCGTGCGCGCGTGTGTCCTCTCTCCGGTGTTATTCGCGTGTGTGTGCGTGTGTCATCCCTGCACGACGCGACGGGACACGGTGGAAACTGTTCCTCTCGCCGCCACAGAGCGCGGAGATCTAGTCGTGCGTGCGCGACAGACGAAGGAAACTGGGAGAGAAAGGAGAACAGAGAAAACAGTAGTGTGCGTTAAAGGGACGATAAAAGAAAAGAAAAAAGTGGAAACGGTGGGACAACGGAACCACACACACGGGGAGGAAAAAAAATGTCGTCCATGTAGTGTTGAGAGAAACCGAGGAGATTGAGAGAGGCAGGTCGAACACGGTGGTGCAGTGGTGGTTATCCCCCGAGTCGTTGGTACGCGCAGACTTTTGGTGTTGCTGGCTGATTTGATGCCTGCTTTGCTATTGCTGTCGCTGCCGCCGCGCCGTCGAATCGCCGCCCGACGTTGCTGCAGCAGTTGCTAGCGATGCGAAATGAAAGAGGGAGAAAAAGGGAAAATAAGGATCGTATGTGTTGTGTTGAAAGGGAGGGAGAGAGAGAGAGAGAGAGAGAGAGAAAGCGAGAGAGAGAGAGAGAGAGTGAGAGAAAGAACGAAGTGTGTAGCCTTCATTGTTTCGTCGTCGTTGGGTTCCCGGTTATACTGTAAAAAGAAATCGCTCTGACAACGCGCCGCGTTCTTCCAGCGTGAACAAAGACAGAGAAAAAAGAATAACGAGAAAGAAGGGGAAAAAAATAAATGTGACGTGCCCGCCGGCCACCAGCCAGCCTTTTACTTTTCTTTTCGCGCTTCATTTATCCTTTCTTTTTAGGTTATCCTCGAGTAGATTGTCTATAGTGTCGTGTCCATCGTGAGTCGCATCAGTTCTTGTTTTCTTTCTAAGACTTTACGTTACTTGGCTTTGTGTACCATCCCACTCCCCTCCCCTCCCCCTTTTAGTTTCGAACTTCGTGCACGCACGGAACCATTGCATGAACGAATAATATTCTCGTTGGTCAAGATATATAGATAGACTTGACCTGTATGTTGCATTTGATAGCGTTCTGGGTCAGATCCAAAGAATTCCTAGCCGCTCGTTACGGTGTTGCCGTTCAGACGGAGGTTACACCTACAAATTTACTAAACACTATTAGCTGTTTACCGAACTTCGTTACCCGAGATTACAGCTCTCGGCGAGCCTTGTATCCGTCCCCGTAACACGTTCTTCACGCTGTATTCAATTCGCAAAACTTTATCCGCGTTCTCGTCCGTCGCTTATATACGGTGGGAGAAGACAGTGTAAATAGCATAAAATATCGTTGTGACACTTGTTTTCGATTCTTGCATACATGTCCATTATCGGCTGTGACACCAAGTTTCAAATTGTCAAGAGCAGACTGTTCCATGGAAATGTGAATTTCGTGGATTAAGTGCGATTACAAATGCAACGAATTGTTTGTCAAGTAACAATAATGTGAAACCGAACTGTACGAACACGTTTTTCTGCCACTGTATGTTTTACTGCCCACGATCGTATATATATATATACACGGTGACTGCCGCTATCCGCTTGCTTCTTTGCGTGAATTCTTTAGTTTCCTTAACTGTGATCCCTTTGTTTAATGTCGAGTCGAGGATGTACAAAAACAATTAATACATTCGTATTAATTACCACGATTTACGCGATTACTGCGGTGTTTTGCAAGTGAGATTTATTTACGCCCCCCCTGTTTTGTGCGCGTCACTTATTTAAGCACTGACCACACACGACGAAGTATTACGGAGTAGGTCCTAGGATGAGAATAAAGGATCGAACGATACGGGTGGGGGGAAGGTTCGAAAGGGACAGAGATAGATAGCGGAAGGTTACGGGAAACGAACGTGATGAAGTACAGTGGGGGGAAGAGAAATTGTTGGAGGGGCGGAGGGGGGAGAAAAGAAAATGACGGGACGGCGGAGTAGGAAGGGATAACTGGATCGTGTCGCAGGAAAAGATGAAGAGAGGGAAGCGAGAAGAGGGTTTTTCGATTTGTTACATTCGTGTCGGGATCACTTGACCTATTGTCGGTTAGGGAACAAACCAGAGAGATGTCGATGCAGAGATCTCTTCGTAACGATACTCCTTGAAAAAAAACTTCGAGATAAAGGAATTAAAAAGTTTACTTAGACGATCATACATGACAAAAGTCGTGATCAGTGAACGTAAGGTATATAAGTACTGTTGTTTAAATGTTAAACAATCGGTTATTAATATCGAACAATATTTTTCATTTTCCTGTTCTGCTTTTTTTTTCAATTCTTCGAATAAAAAGGGAACAGGAAACAATTTTTGTTCGGGTTACATCAGCTTCACAAACTATTTCATTCTGTACTTCCTATTTCTGCGCACAACATTAGCGCATCTATAATGATCGTAGGTGCTTCTCTTCAATAATTAGACACGAATGTGACGGTAGTCGTTGGTACTTTGCTTCTTCTTCTTAACAGAGGGAACGATATATCGCTAAATTAAACCTTTCAGATTCATTGTAAATCCCGTTGTATAATAATACTTTCACTTGTTAGAAAGATACACGTTAAACGATAACTAACCTCTTAACCCGTGAGCCCAAGTTCGAATTTGGGCAAGGGATATTAAGTCGCAACAAAAAACCGTGCGTTAAGGGGTTAAATAAATATAAAAACATCAAATACAAGATATTCGAGTTACTGGTGAAAGTAATATTTAACAAAAAGTAGTGTGACCTTGTACCCTCGCAAGCTAACTCTGCTTCCGCTAGAGGAAAAAGTGGCGTAGGAGAAGGGCCTCCTACAACTTGGTATTGGGAATTACTGAAATTTATGCCCAATTAAAATTCGATTTAACATTTATTTTAGTACTTTAATTAAATGTACCAAGTGGTAGGAAGCCCTTCTCCTACGCCACTTTTCCCCTAATGGAATCTGAATTTGCTCGTCGGTGTACGCCTTATCGCGACCTTATTACCTGCTACCTGGTGTTACGCATACATGTAAACAACGCTGTAAATAAAAAAATGCTTTCCACGTTGCTTCACGCTTTAGAGTACTTAGTCGTTAGAATAGTATGACGGCCGCCAATAGCAGGCGGATTCCCGTCACATTTCTTGCCTTTACAGAGAGAGAGAGAGAGAGAGAACCAAAAAAACAGAGACAGGAAGACCATGCGAAGGGCGGTAAACTCGTAACAGAGAGAGAACGCCTGCTCCCGAAGGCGTTAAACCGGGAAGAGAGAGAGAGAGAAAGAGAGAGAGCGCGCGCGTGTATAATCGGTGCACGGAGCGATGTACGCAGCTGCGGGTGGCGCCAGTATAGCGAACAGGAGGAAGCAGAAACGATTGCAGCTGAACAAACGCGTCGCCGAGGGTACGATCCCGTCACGTCTGAAGCCGGCTGTTCCAGCATCGTCACAGCACCATTACCACCACCACCAATACCACTCGAACAAGTTCGCGCGTCCGCACGTTGTTCCGCCATCTTCCACGCCACAGCCACCACCGTCGTCACAACAACCACCGTCATCTGCATACCACCATCAGAGCGTCGAACGACGGCGTCATGTCGAGAAGTCCCACCAGCAGATCGCACCTGTATCACCGATCCAATTCCCAATATCGCCACCGCCGTTGTCCCTCGAATCACCTAGCTCGGTCACATGCGCCACGAAATCCAACAATAATTTCCCATTCCCGCCACCATCGATCCTCGATCTCCGAGTATCGCCATCTTCGTCGGAACTACAGGTGGGTAGATTGTTCCGGTCGGTAACATAATTTGCTCTAGAATAAATTTAGTCACGAATTTCTTAACATACGTTCTCTCTTAGTTCTCTGTTCTATCACTTCTTTCTCTATCACACGTGTTAGTCGCTCTTTGCTATAGGTAATCCCCCCCCCCCACTTTTCTCATATACTCTCTATCACAGTCCTTTTGTAATAAGTATCTTGATGATCCTCGTTGCACTTTGCACCACTCTCTTTGCTGGCACAAACACACACCACTTTAATTATTACACATTAGGAAAACACACCATCGATTTGGCTGTCTGGTGGCGTATGTAAACCCCCTGCGGTATAACATATCCTCGACGAGACCGGAACCCTCCCAACCGGATGGGGTCTCGTCAGGTGGTTATATCCCGTAACATTGTAATTTTTAGTTGATCCATCCATCGGTTCCAAACCAGCTGTACGTAAACTATCCAACCATCGACCAAATGCCAAACGCAGACAGTGCAATGTTAGGAGTAAGTTGTGGTGACCGGTACCGAGCCGGATTGGAAGATCATTGAGAGGAGGAACTCGTGTGATTTTTAACATTTCTTATTTCTTTTTTTTTTTTTTTCGTTTCGGGTCAGAGAAGGGGAACAGAAAGTTTAAGTTGTACCGTGTGTAAAAGGAAGTGGAGAAAGGAGAAGGAGGAGGAGGAGGACGGTCGGGATCTTAACGATCGATAAAACAGGCAAATGAATGAGCGGAATGCAGGCTGCTTTATTAATTAGAAGGGAGAAGCAACGGTTACGGGGGGGTAAGGTGGTGAACTTTAGAGAATTACCCTCCAACTTCGCCACCAGACTTATTCCGCCGCTTCCACGATATCCCCCACGATCTTATGTTTACGGGGTAAGTATCAAAATCATTCCGACGTCCTGTATCATCGACGATAAGCTATTGACATCCGTGGGTAATTGTTATTCTTCCCTAGCTGATTCTACCTTTGCATCACCCATATGTACCTCTGTTTAAAAAAGAAAGAAAGAAATTCATAATGTAGTGTATTCTTGGTGTTTGTCCGTTTTTACTTTTGTCTTATGGTGAAATATATTAGCGTTTTTTTTTTTTTAATATATTGTATGTATATTCATGTATAAAATGTTTTTAAATCGGTAATTAGGAATAAATTAGAGAAAACACTATAAATCGTGCGATGTTTCATCTCAAAGTGTAATTTAATCTAATTTCCTCGAAGAAAATTTCTGAACGGTAAATTTTCGAATAAATTCTATCACAATTCATTACACAGTACTCTATGGTCAAAGATTCACGACTATCGAAAAATTCTGTTCGATGAAGTCTTTAATGTCGATCAGACTGCAATAAGTACAGTGTGCTTATGTAAAGAAATTCTACGATACATGTACGTATAAACGTTTATACATGTTTTGAATTGGTTATACGTGTACCTACCAATTTTTTTCTGTGTCTTACTTAGTACATGCATGCATGTTTTCTTACATTATCATTTATGTGCTGAGTAACGAGGAAGTAATTAAGAGAGATTAATTAAAGGGATAACAATTGTAGTTAAAAAGATTACAGAAAATGATTAGAAATGATAGAGAAAGATGCAAATCACGCGATCGTATTGTAATTCTTCGTTAATATTCTTCTGTTATTTATTTATATTTTCCGTAATAGTTCAGACAATATTTACGCCAGACGTAAATGCAAACATGTGACAGTTCGTCAATTAATCTATAGATTGACTAAAATATTTATTAGTTAATGCGTGCACTATTATAAAGTCCTTGATAGTACATTGAATAAACTATAATTTAGAGTTGTTGTAAGTTTAAAAAATAATACCTCAATGAGAAATAATTTCAGTGCGGTGGAGGACCCGGTAAAGCAGCATGGCAAGGATGCAGCAGACCCTCACCCCTTCCTTTGTCCCCTATGTCACCCCACGGATGCCGGGGGGATGGCTACAAGACAAAACAGTGCGAGGCTCATCGACGATGGATGAAACGGAACAGGGTAAATAGCCGGTTAATAGTCACAATTGAAATGAAAAACAAGCCCGAAAGGAAAATCATGAAACTACGAATCTATTGATTGTATAAGTGACATACAACGGTAAAAAGATTACGAATTTCCTAAATTACCTGTCACGACTAAACAGTCATTCCTGAATGCTCTGTTAAATCTATAACACCACCGACGACGTATAGGAGTAGACATTTCATCTTACGAGAGTTGGTGGCCCACCTAAACTGTAGTACCGACACCTTAAAAAGCTTGTGTGACACTAAAATAGAAATGGGGCGACGTCGTCTCAAAAAAAATAGGCTGAGAAAAATACATTGAATGAAATGTCTACTCCTATACCTCTGTTATAACACTAACAAATATATTTCTTTGTTCCGTATGAACGTGGCCGGATAGTCTACTGTTATCTTTTCCCAGATAAGAGACGCGAGTTATTGCTATGAGAGCAGCGGAGAAGACGACGAAGAGGATGGTAGCAGTAACGCGAACCGTCGTCGAGGAGAGGTTAGCGCGGCAGTGAATACCGTGCTTTACGCGGGGCTCGGAACCACAGCGCTCGGATTGGTTATCTCGTTTGTCGGCACTGGAGAGAAAGGATTCCTCAGTCCGGAATTGAGGCTGGTGGGTCCTTCGCTACTGTGCGCCGGTTTACTGTGTTGCCTATTTCGGGTGCTGCTCTGCCTCTGTTTATGTCATTGCGGTCAATGCCGTTGGCAGCTTTGCAATGTCGCTTCCGACAAGAAGGATAAAGTGGGGAAACCAGAAGCACGTCCAGCTGGAACATTGCCTACCGCCTCACTATTGTCGCCAACGCAACAGCAACAACCACAACAGCCACAACAACAACAATCGGCCGCGTGTTCAAGTGGTCCAGGATCATCGTCAACAAAAGCACACGAGCTGTTACTCTCACCCGCCCAACTACCAGAGTGAAGAAGACACCATTACGAACGTTTTCTACGAGAATCAATACGCCGATTAACTGCCGGTTCTTGTCCAATAAATAGAATTATCTAATCTCCATTCGGCCTGAACCGTTCTCGCAAGGAAAAAAATAACGAAAAAAAAAACAAACCATCACACAGCCTAACTCTAGTTAAATGCGAATTTTAGCGCTTGAAAATAATAGAGAAATAAACAATCGGCTACATTTTTCTACCCCTACCGTGTTTGAAAAAGTAAACAAGTAATTATCAATGAGCCTTCGACTGCCTCCTCGTTTATTTCCTTCCATGTTCAGTTTTCGTTTTTTTTTTTCTTACTTCTTCTCTTTACAAGGATTATCTAAATTTTAATTCCACCCTCCTCACTGAGATCTCGAAACGCTCCTCGTATTTCCGTTCTCACGATACACAGGATCAGCTCGCTGTCGAATCTGATTTTACACAGTCTTTCTTTTTTTAAATAAACGCAATCACGCGCGTAGAAGATATACACGACAGTCAAAAAAGTAGCTGTTTCCATGAAATCACGGTTTCACGTAGAATAATTTATAGTAGCATCACTTTAACCGGCACCGATCAGGAAAGCTGGAACTGCATTTGATCGGTGGACGTGTAACTGTATATAACAGATGTGTCCGGCGGTGTGGCACTCGCCGCAGTCGCAGCGATCGCGAACAGCTGATCCTCGTATATAGTTCCCGGAGGTTCGACCTTTCCGTTTCCAGGTGTCCCACCGGTGCCCGGCGGATTATCGCCCTTCGTGGCTTCTCTGTACTTTTGCAGATACACTTTCAATGGTTCCACGTAGTTATCGAAACCAAGTGTTGTCATAGCGAACAGAATGTCCTCGCCGTTAATTGTTTTGCGTTTCTCCATATGACACCGATCGCTCGCCTCGGACGTGATGAACGATATGAACTCGGATACACATTCTTGAACACATTCCCGTGCGTCTTTGGCTATCTTTCCTGCTTCCGGTATGGCACGTTTCATAATTTTCGCCACGTTCGCTATAGGAAGAAACCGATCTTGTTCACGAAGCGGACCCCCACCGCCAGGGCCTCCAGCTCCTTGTAACGGATCGCTAGCTCCGTGATTCGAGTCGTCAGTATTTTCAGGATCGTCTAAACAAACGTACTGATTAAATTTCGTCTATCCTCCATAAAACTATTGTACTGTTTAACCCTTTTACTTTATAGTTTTACATCGTAGGTACTGTTACGGTACAGTGGACTCTATTATATTGCCACTCAACATATTGCTTTGCTCTCCCACCACGTTGCGTACGCCGGCGTACTAGCACGATTCAGCTTATGCGCAGGCGCTGACACCGAGGCTATGACGATTGAACTTAGTATGGAGGGGGGTTTGAACTCATTGCCATTTTACTCCCCTACAGCACCGACCATGGCAATATAGTTAGAGTGCACTGTACGTGTTGTGATACACAGTTTTCTTTTTTCTACTTTCGTTACTACAATTTGTACTAGTAAATATAGTTGAAGAGAGAATAGTACAAAGTTGTAAACCCAGTAGGATGTGAAGAGAGGTTCGGAACAAGTGATAAAGAACATTGAACGAAGAGCTGATACCTTTACCAGTGTTATGTGCAATGTTCCTCTTAGAAATTGCATGTCTTTTAAGACGAATTTTCAAAATTTTTAAAACACCAAATATTGTTCTGGTTGCTAGTAGAAGTTTCTATTTATGGCCCCATTGGGTTTACTCACTCACTATATCATTATCCCTAAAGGTGCTGCAGATCACAAGGTAAGTAAAAATAAACTAAAGAAAATGAAAATAAATTGTACGTAATAAAACAAAAATACCATGATGAAAATTCTTAAGTAGATTATTTATAAAACTTAACATTTTCTGTCAATATAAGGATAAATTATAATTTATTATTACAAAATGTTCTTTTATTACGTAACTTGTAACACTCGGAAGATATCATGCTCTTATGCTATGTACAAATATGTAAAACACAATGAAACTGAAAACTTAATAAACATGAAAGAAATTTGTATTTTATTTGCAATTATAGAATTGTTAATATATATTTTCATTCAATCATGGTTTTTAATAAATAGTTTTAAAAGATTTGCATAAAATATTTATATGCATAGTCTAATGATCACAAAGTTTGCTACCAGCATTACATGTAAGCAATGCTGCGATTTCTTCATGTAAGTTATAATTTTACAATTTACATTTAAGAAACTGTATGAAGTCTGTACACTTTATTGGTTAGGAGCACAACAAAGACACAAGTTTTTGTACTACTTATCCATTTTTCCTTATATTTTTAATGTCCGATTAAAAAGAAATATATTCTACTGAATAGAATTGTGAAAATCTGGAGTAATCTGTGATGAATGATTTGCAAACAGAATGACGGTAACGAACGTGTTAAACTCCATCAATTAGTTCTTCTTATCTGCATGATATAATGCTGACATTGAAAACTGTCAATTTTTATAAACATATAATGTTCTCTTCCCATTAAAAAATCGAATTTTACTTCGACAAAAGTAACATTCTAATACGATGACATTTTAAATGTTATATAACGAGTAAAATGTGCGTAATTGTACTGAAAATAAACAAAAATCCAAACATTAACCTACCTTCCATGTCGTCTGATTGAACCCCAATATAAGACGCGGAAACCCCGCTTCCACTAAGGAATGCAGTCGGGCCCAATGGTCCACCGTCATCGCCACTTTCACCGCTATTTTCCATTTCCAGCGTGGATCACACGAAATAGACAACCTGAACACTTAAAAATTCTCTTAACCTGTTCGTAGCTTTGTTTTCACGATGCTTTGCGATGCTTCATGATATTTTTCGGCATAAACAGGTCTGTCTGTAGATAATAACACTGGGAATTTAAATTGAAACCTCGACGATACAACTAGTGCCCTCACAGGGAAGATACACCGATGAATCCAGATGAATCAACCAATAAATATCACGAGATAATAAAGCTGCCACCTCAATTATTGACCTACGAATGGTCAGAATGAGCTAGACAAATACCGACGGTGAACGAATGAATATTTTAAGGCACGTCTATATGTAATTCGGTGAGTAATTAAAGCACGGTCCACAAAGTATGTTCTCACAAGCGAAATCTTACAAGTGGAATAGAATAATCACGGTTTCATTGTGTGCGCATATATGCGCGACAAGTATTTATTTAAACCGATTGATATGGCTATGTCTAGTATTTTATTAATGCGGAAGGGTCTTTCAGTGAACGGTAAGCGAGCTTTCTTTATTGATATACCAATCACAATTCATAACGTGCATCAACTGCGCTCTTGGTGTTTCTCTTCTTAGAATTTTCCAAATAAATTATCGAAACCACAATAAAAACTGTTACGGGCCATACGGCACATAAAATGGTTGCATTTGTTTACGCAATTATTTCATTAGATACGTCTCCAACTGTGATCGTATAAACTATAAACTATTAGATTTGAAAATGTCGGTTGAAAAAGGTCAGAATGCGGCGTTAAATTTCACACGTAAAGTGACTGACTACATGGCAGAAAACAAATTCAAAGAAGCTTCGGATCTTTTTGAAGGCGGCATTAATGATTGTATTATTAAAGAAACTTCAAGGGTAATTATACAACGTGTATCGTCTTATATTGAAAGTGACAATGTAGAACATAATGAAGAAGCTATCCACTACTGCACAAAAATATTAAATGCAATTGTAGAAAAAGTGGATCCTTCGGAGACTATATTACGATTCTTAGAAGAATTAGATACCATCAGTGATATAAAGTTTTCTATAATTCTAAGACTAGTCGGTAGGAGTATTTCTAAAATGGCAGATAAATCTGAAGAAATAAAATGGAGCATCAGTACTCTAAGATTTTACATTGGGGATTTGGCAATAAGTGTAAAAGAATCCGAGGAGAGTACAATTGAAATGAATAAAACTGTAAGTGTGTACAATGCGATTATATTGTTTCTTGACCCCTTGGTACAAGAAGTATCATTAGAGACGGAGAATACACAAAATTCTGCTGAATTACGGTATTATCTTTTAAGTCTCCTCATTTTTTTAATGGGCGAACCACTGTGTCATCTACAGGATCATGTATTAGAATCACAGTCGGATAAGCCTTTACCAGAAAAAATTATATCTCTTATAAGTCGTATTACAGGAGATCTGTTTTGGTGTATAAATATTGTAAGCAACCGAAGTAAAAGTAAGTGTATAGAAAAAAAACATATAGATAAAGAAACTTGTAACATTAAGGTGATACTCTTTGAGTTAAATGAAAATGTACCAGACTTAGCATACGCTAATTTATATTTTTACATTGTAACAAAATTGCATTTGTGGGAGACAGTACCACAGGTATATAATTGGCAATACATTTTCGAAGCATGTACATATCTTATTGTAAAGCTGCTTCAAGAAAAGGAAATTGTTACTACTAGAAAAGGATTAAATCTTATGAGTCATCTTTTAAACAGATTGACAAGGCATTTCCTGACACTAGAATCGTTGGAGGTGTTTATGTATTCGGAATTACTTGATGTACTCATGAGAGTGATGATTTATTGTGATAGCAATAAAGAACGCAGAAAAGCTTTGGAACTGTTTCGAGAATATCTCGAAATGTTCGATATGCAAGCTAGGTACCATGTTGTTACACATTTGTACCAAACCTGTGAACATTCTGGTTTGCTTAGTTTGACCACTGGTATACTCAAAGATTCTGTCATCAAGTGTCTTCAAACAACACCTCCTACACCTTATTTTCTTGGTAAAAATCTTGAATCATTATTGAAATTAGCATGCAAATTGCCTCACGGAAGTGAATCTGATCTGGTGGAAATATCCGATGAAATAATTACCAGCCTGAATCTTTTGAGGTTTCTATTTCTCCGAGACCAGCACAACCAAACTGGAATTTGGAATTGTAAAAATAAACTGAAAAATGATTTCCTGACACCATTAAGGAAAGGAATAAATTTGTGCAGAACACATTGGAAAGTGAAAATAAAGGATTTAGAGGAACAACGGAAAACTATGAAAATAAATAACATAGAACTGGAAAAAAGTGATGCTGATATAACATTGACCGTGGGTGGTGAGATCTTACCACCAATGCCAGTTTTAGAAAAAATATCATTTTGCCATAAGGCGGTAAATGGTCTTGATGTAATGGAAAACGTTTTGATTAGGGTCAACGAATGTATTACGGAGTGTTCTGTTAGAGAAAATAACGATGATGCTGTAATTTTAAAATAACAATTTTATATTTTTATAAAATGTACATTAATTGTTGAATAAAATAATTTCTCATTCATATTTTATTTTACTTTTTTTTTTTACGCCCCGAACTTGTTACTTATATAACAGTAGTAATGATCATGATCAATAGATATTTTGAATTATTTTCCGAAGGAACAAAGAATATGTTTTAAATTGAGCTTTGGTTTTAATAGGTTTTAGAAGTTTATGGACATGTAGGATACTGCTCGCAGAACAAACTAAAAATACTACCACACAGCAGTCGAGTCAGGACCAGAGTAAGGATAGCGACGAGGATTATGAGAAAAATATCAAATCAAAGATTCTTAGTGCATCTTTAAAGTTTGTGCATGACCTGGGCTGGAGCCAGCAAGCCATCAGTGCTGGTAAATTGTAATAATTTTTCAGTTAAGTAGATGAGTAAAAAGCAATTGAGGGAGCTCTTATTTTTTACTAAAAGCAAAATAATTGTTTCTTCTCGGGTTACTGTATTCTGTATTAAAAACGAAGTTTATATAGTATCAAGTATATATACGCAGCTCTATAAACGAAAAAAATGTTCACTTTGAATATCTCGAAACATGATTTTCGGCTGACACGCCCCTATTCCAAAGAAATGAAGGACATATAATACACGAGTAACATATTCGTTGTAGTATCATTATTGATTTTATACTCTCGACCCCTAATTCGGTTAATAAGTATACTTCATGAAAAGTTTTATACCAAAAGGTGCCGAGTCTATTGGATATCCTGGTGTGATTCATGGACTGTTTCCCAATCGAGGAGCAGACTTGGTTCAGTATTTTTACCTGACGTGTAACAGTGAATTGAACAAAATCCTTAAGGAACAAGCGCTTGCTGCTCAAGATGGTCCTACCAAAGAGAAAAAGACATTGGAATTTCAAGTACGAGATGCTGTGGAGACAAGGCTTAGAATGGTGATCCCGTACAAGAAAACTTGGCCACAAGCTTTAGCTCTTATGACGCTTCCTCCTAATGTACCAATGTCCCTGGCTAATTTGCTCACATTAGTGGACGACATTTGTTATTATGCCGGTGATAGATCAGTCGATGTAAGATAATACATTCTTTTACACAATTTCATAGTTTATACGTAACATAACTTATAGAAAAACCTCCTTGATTAGATTAACTGGTATACCAGAAGAATAGTACTAGCAGGTATTTATAAGACCACGGAGCTGTACATGTTACAAGACAACAGCGAAGATCATATACACACTTGGAGCTTCTTGGAAAGGCGAATAAAAGATGCGACTCAAATTCATTCTATCCTTACAACAACTTCTGACATGGCTCTACCAGAACAAGCTCTCAATCGTGCCACTGAAACAGCTAATGCCGCTTTTGTTACGGTAAGTTAATAAGCTAAGCATTGAAATTTCATATTTTCGTAGTATAATAATGTCCTTCCATTTAATGTTTTCTTTTATTTCTCAGGCACGTAATATACTTGGACTGAATTGGAATAGATAAACCAATTTAATGATAGAAAAAGAATAAATTATTTTTAGAGAAAAATTAATTATAGTATTGTTTCTGAATGTATTCACAGCAAGTAAAAAATACATTTAAGGAGTCACGTGCATGTACCTTCGTTTTATATCAACACAATAATGTTCAAGACTAGACACACGGTTTTATGTTGAATTAACAGTCATGGCTAATTTATTTTAGCAGTATGTGTTTTAACAAGGTCTGTACATATTTGATGTCAAATTTAATAAATCTGAGCTATTTTCATGCGAGATATAAAGTTAAAAATGGTTAGAAATAAATTTAACAGTATTTAACAATTACCCTGCATAATTGTGCGATTAATTAAGGCAACATACGTTTCGTCTTTATATAAAATTGTTTGATCCCTCTATAGAGACACGAGATCAATTTTCATCCTTAATATTCAATTGAGCAGGAGACTATGTTATAATAAAAAATATACACACAGCCAAGTACCTCACAAGTTAATGTTACGTTCCAAATATGTAACGTATTTTACAATGAAATAATTCATGCGAAACTGTAAGAATATCTATGTTACATTTGTACGAGCCTCATTATCAATATCAATAATTCTGATATAATATCAATTTTTATAAAAATGAAAACATCTCTTAGATCTAACGAGCATTTCAGTCTTTCTAAAAAAAAAAAACTGCTCCAAGCTGCTTTCAAAAATGAAATCTTTCTCGTAAAGTGTTAATATAAAAGTTGAGAAACTTTTAAATTTGTATGACTAATTTTATAGTACGTTTTGCATTGATATACGAGTTTTCGTAAAAGATGACTTTTACATTTCATATTAATAATGAGCTTCCTCTATGTACCCTTTGATGGTGTTTGGTAAAGGCAATTTATGAATATTATCCAATCTAGTATTCTGACGTATAACAAAACGGCAAAGGTATTGCAAACTCCGTACTTGGGTAAATCTGCTTACTGGTTTCGTTAGTCTAACTGGAAAAGACGGATGACCGGGATACTTAGGTCGTGAATAACAAATTACAGCTGACTGGCTAAAATTCATCGAATAGTCAATTAAATCGGCTACCGAGCTGAATCCTTCGCTTTCACTTTGGTTGCAGAGAGAAAATAAACCACCGCTATGTTCCATACGAGTATGGAGCAATTTACCAGATGATTTAAAACTAAGTGTCAGGACATGTCTATATGAGAAACAACATTCATAATGTTATTTATGTTATAGTCAAACACACTATCAATGTAATTAAAAAACAAACCTGTCATCTGAAGAGTCCCTGACTAAGAAAGCACCATCAGGTTCAGAGATTAGCTTAGCATCAGCTTCTGTACCTGATATAGGCCCCCAATACCATCCGTAATTGCTTAATTTAAGCAGCTCCATTGTTAGATTTGCTTTCACTTTGTTGTCATTGCTTATTGTTTCATTGATATTTACATTTCCCAGAAAATTTGCAATTTGATGTTCTCTTATTCTGCTTCTTATCACAAGATTGTATCCTGATTGCTGTTCCTGGTTACTAGAGCAAGACCGCAAAGGATTAACAATATTTTCACATTTATTGTTTGCTCGAAGCTCATCAATATCCTGTGCGTTAAATAAACTTAGTTCTGTATCGGTGTCAGAATAGTTGTCTAGGGTTTCATGCAGGCTTTCAAAAGCTTCTTGGGTGTGAAAAGATGAATTGTTGCTAGTTGCAGTTTCATCATTGTTCTGATTGTCAGAAGGTTCAACGATACCTTCTGGTTCATTTTCAGACAGATTATTTTCCTCTGTGGAAAGAACAGGGTTGTCACTGCAGAACATTAACGAATTACAGTTGATCTTGTCCTCTGAACTTGGTACGTGAATCTCATTCTCCTGTAAAAATGTCTCTTAGATGCAAAGCACCACTGACATTCTTTGCATACTTACTTTTCGCTTGAATTTCCATGCTGTCAGCTTCTTGAATTGCATGTGCTTCTTGATGTTTTTGAAAAAATTGAACGACATCTTCGTTGGGACAGCATTGTTAACATTGCACTCAACGATTCGAACGTCTACGACATCCTCCCTTTCAACTTTTTTTCTCGGCGTAGTCTCCCGTCGTGAATTACGTCTCCGAAGAAAATCGAATGTTCTTCCTGACAATTTCCGCGGTCTCAAGTCCTGCTTCGATGTTTTCTCTACACCAGGAGGGGCGGCAACGATCAGTTCCTCCGACGTCTGACTAATCATATTCAAATGTCGTGCGACCTTTCAAACTGGTTCCAAATCGGGGAAAGGATACGGTTGCACTATCTTATCAGAAATTGTTTCACACGCCATCTATTCTTTACTCTGTCTTCAACCCGCGGGCACAATTTTATTTCACGGACTCCAGAATTTTCATCACGGGTCCCCGTTTCACGAACGTCCATCCGAAATTAACGTCGCACGCAACAATGTTTTTGTAAACAATACCTCTCGTAATAGTGCTGTTGTAACTAGGACCGTGTCCCTAGTAATTCCTATATCTGCCACATTGTTCTGCCCGGTAACTTGCTAGGGATATACATGCACTGTATGAAAAGATGCTAGATCAAACAAGATATGGGAACCAGTGATGCCAGAATCGTAAACTTGGTACCCCCACTATGACCTACCGTCGTTTACCACTTTATTCCCACCGTACTGATACCAAGCATACCTCTATTTGCCTCTGCTCCTGCCGTGTGCGCTGTCCGTTGGAAACTGAAGAGCGTAGACTGGCGTAGAGCGAACTCTCTGCGAAGAAGTGCTCCGACAAACTGATCGGTACAGTGGCAAGAGGGGGGTATTTCGCCGACCAATGGTTAATACTGCAAGACGTTACGTCAGTGCCACGTGTTCCTCTGTTATCGCTCAATCTCACTTAATCTTGTGGGTCCCTTTCGCCCTCTTTGTCACGAACGAATTTGATTGGAGGGCGTTCGTCAGCTCGCAAGTATAGAAGTATGCGATAATCTATTCTTCTTCTTCCCATTATCCTCTCTATTTGTCCCTCACGTGCAAACTCGGCTTTCCTTAAAGAAAAAAGTGAGGTAGGCGAAGGGCCTCCTACCATTTACTTTTGGGAGCTACTGAAATTTATGCCAAATTAACATTCGGTGTAACATTTATTTCAGTACTTGAAATAAATTTACTAAGTGGTCTGAGACTTTTCTTCTACGCCAATTTTTCCCCTAGCGGAAACCGTTTGCTCGCGGGGGTAACCACAGGGGTACATATAATTGAAAATGTTCCTCTATATTGGTAACACTGAACGGGTCGTAATCATACTAAACTGACCTTTACATATGATGAGCAACGTCACCAACGAGTTTATGTGAAACACTTCTGTTACATGCATATTTTCTATTTTGATTATCAATTTCTAGACGACAATTGCTTTAATGTGTTTTATTTTATTGGACCGAGTGACTTAAGAGAACTGCTTATCGAAAATGGGATCTTCCCACAGTATTGAAATACCTGGAGGTGGCACAGAAGGTTACCATGTACTTAGGGTAAAGAATATTTATCAGAATACTTTAATCTGGCTAACGCATCCTGTTTTTCCTTTTAACACTTTACCTACCGGAGATTATTTAATAAGCTTTTTGAAGTTACTAATTAATAGTCGAAAACCTATTGATAAATTTTTCATTTCTTGTTGCAAATTAAAATCATAAACCAATGTAGCAACCTGAGTAGCACAGTACAACGACAGTTTCGTTTTAATTCCTATTTAAGAGAAAATTAATAAGTTTCTTGTCAGTAAGCAACGACGTCAGAACATCTGCTAATAGGTTTCTGGGTGGAAAAGAGTTAGTCAAGATTCCTAAAAAGTACCAAATGTAATCTGTATAATATTTCAGAACGAATGTAAGAAAACTTTGTCATATGCACAAAGATCCTAATTTCTATATTTATATAATTATAACAATTTAAAAATGTGATAACTGTCATAGTTAAATCTTAAACTAAGTGTTGAAACAAATACCTACAAACAATTTTGGCTGACCTTCCACATTATCTGTCAATGTTTCTTTCATTTGTTCTGAGATATCTTGTATAGTTAACAAATTTGATTTAGTTTTTATAACTGAAAACAGGTACAAGATGGTTCTCCTGGACAGAAAGCAGGCCTTGAAGCATTCTTTGATTTCATTGTGGCCATTGGAAATACTCGTTTGGTCTGTTTTTTATTATTTTTATATTTAATAAGGATGTTATGTGTGAAATATGATAAAATATGCAAAGAATTAGATTTAATAAACATAGTGAAGTATCTAATTTTATAGTGACTTTATTGATTCAGTATAATTCGAATTGTGTAGACAGACTAATCTAAATATGGTCAAGTAGAAGGCCTTGTTATGTCATACATATAAATCATTAAATGAAAAAAAAATTTGTCAACAAACTGTCCAATTACTGATGCATCTTGACCGTCTGCTTTTTTTCACAGAATCAGGATAACGACACGTTAAAAGAACTCCTGAAGGGTGGTGTAGATAAAAAGTTAACGCTTACAGTGTACAGTAGTAAAACTCAAGCTGTAAGACAAACCATCATAGTTCCCAGTCTCACGTGGGGTGGACAGGGTCTTCTTGGTGTTAGTGTTAGGTTTTGTTCCTTTGAAGGTTCCAATGAAAATGTTTGGCATGTTCTTGTAAGTATATTAAGTAAATGCAATTGTACCATAGAGAAACAAGTGAACAACGGCAAAAATAGCGAATAATATTTCTGAACGCTGGTGTACGTTGTTTAGGAAGTACATCCATCTTCGCCCGCCGAATTGGCTGGATTACGGCCGTTCACGGATTACATTATCGGCGCGGATTCAATTTTACACGAGTCCGAGGATTTGTTCACTTTAATAGAGGCTCACGAATCGCGTTCCCTAAACTTATATGTATATAACACAGAAGACGATTCCTGTAGAGAAGTTACAATTATACCTAATCATACCTGGGGCGGAGAGGGAAGGTATGTACATATATATATATATTTCTTCATTTTGTATCGCAGTTCATGTTCTATGGAAATATTTCTTTTAACAATTGTAGCTTGGGTTGCGGAATAGGATACGGATATCTTCATAGAATACCCATTAGAAGTGTGCAAGAACATAAATCTAATACCTCGTATACGGTACATAACCTCTCTAAGTGGCACATCGCAATGAAATACGTTATTTACCATTTCAATGTCTTTTTTAGAGTAACGTTAAACCCAGCGTTCCAAGTCAGGTGACAACCGGAACTGTTACTCGCACCGGAGGAAATAATATGGTGATAAGTATACCCCCAGGTTTTTCTATTCCGCCTAATTACGTTCCATCGCAAGATATTACTACAAAAGCTGACCTTGAAACCACCACAATAGCTCAAACTGTGTACACTCCGAGTGCACAGACATACACTATTCCGCAACTAAATCCTGCTACTGTTGGTGGATCTACAACAATTTCTATACCTCACATGGTATCTAATCAAGGCACTGCGAGTGTTATGATTGGTGAGTTATAATTTAGAAAGAAAGCTAACATATACGAGGCGAGTTCGAAAAATAAGTTAATAAGAAAAATGGATTTGTTGCAAGCTAAAAGTATTTACATATTCTATTTTTCTACATAATTTTTTAGTACTATCACACACTATGCCTATGTACTGTTTATCCTCCGATTGGACATATTTCCTTCTCCTCTACTCAAACTGCATCCATCCGTCATCCCATTCCCAACATCACACGAAATTCCTCCTTAATCCGGAATTTAAAGTGGGTCACTCTAAATTTTGATTCCTCTTTTAATGTTCCCACCGAAATATCGAATATTTTTACTTAGAAAAACGTTAATGGAGATGTTTATCCGTATTCAGGTAATAATGCTTCGCCTCAACCGAATACAATGCCAAATATACCTGGAATGCCTACCACTCCACCTTTACCAACGTTTCCCACTATGACAACAGTTTTGAATGAAGCTTGTGCTACAGTCGGTTTACCCAAGGATTTCTCAGCTGTACAGGGTGTAAGTCAAGGTGTCCCATCGCCCGAAATGCAGTTTAATGCGTCTCAGTCTCACGTAGTCACAACGCCGATTTCACTGCCTGGCATGCCACCTATTACTGTTAGCGCAAGCCTACCGCAGAATACGCCTTTCTATGCGTCTGTTCTTCAACAAAATCAAATGACCGGCTTGAATACAGTTCCCACGTCTACGGCGACACCGACACAGTAACATCGGTTTTCTGTAACGAAAGAAGCCTTTTTGTTCCCCAACAGAATGAGTATTGATAAACGAAGGTAAAATAAAATCACCGTTTATACGTTACAAATATATTGTGTCACTCTACTCTTGTGCGTTTATACTTTTATTACTTGTCTGAACGTAACGTAAACAAATTTCTGGATGCATAAGGGAAGGATTATGTAATTCTGTACATAGCTGAAACGCGATCACTGAAACTAGGAGTAAATTAAAGCATTTAAATAAAAACAGAAGCAAGTATTAAATCAATTCTGCTTTTTACATTTTTCATTATGCATGTTTGTAAGTATATATTTACTCTTATATTCTTGATTATAAAATAAGTAACTTAAAGAAATATATATATGTATATGTAATAATATATGTTCAATTTTTGTTCTTTATCTTATCATCATTACATAGTTTCTTATACAATAAAGAGCTAGAACATTTATGTATTATTTGAATGGCTGGTATTAATAAATTTTGAAACTTTTAAAGATTTTCGTAACATACTATCGGACGGTCGACTGAAATTAATTGTGAAAAGTTGCAAAAACGATCTAACGCGACATAAACTTTCTAAACATTATTAAAGTATTTAATATTATGCGCAATTATAAATATATAATCTGTGCAAAAAATCACCACCTGATAGTGTGTTAAGAAGCTGTACTTTTCTCTTTAACATTATACTTCTAACAAATTTCCAAACAAAAAAAAAACAATAATTAGGTATTCTAGTTTTTAACAAAAGTCATTTATTGTATATCATATGTGCAGATAGAACTTGAAACACTATTAAATAAATACATATGGAACAATAATCTTGGTATTAGTGTACAGGATCTGCAAGAACTGTTCAGGCTTATATAGATATTGTTTTGACAACATTTAAATTATTATTTCCGTATCTCCCAATTCTTCATCGGTAGGAAGAATGACCTTGGATGGGTCTATGACATTTGGATTCACCAGGGGCAACCCATTTTCTTCTCTGTAACGAAGTTGCAAAAACGCTTCTCTCAAGGCCCAGTCCTTCATTGTTACGTCCGGCATGTATCCCAAAATAAATGCATGCAATACCAAACCAATGGTAACACACACAAATGTTGTTAGGTGCATTTTATGCCGATCTACTTCCTTGTTTTTGTAATCAAAACCGTAACTGATCCAGGGCTTCTGCACAGGGTACGGTAAATCCGACACATTATCATTCTTTTTCGATGTCGAAGACACCAAACGTTTCGCTACATCGTGTACCTTCACGGTCGTCGATTTCGCGAGAAAAGTCAGCCTGTTCTTAATTCCTTGGGAATGGACCACTCGAAGTAACGTTGACATCGTTGGAATTAGAAGCCCCTTCGACGTTTATAAAAATGATTAATCTCAATATATGTTGCTTGTTAATTGCTACCGGGCGTTAATGTATCGTAACAATTTCAGAAATCAAAATTAGACTTTGTACATATGTATACTCGTGCCAGGACACACTCAGTGTAGGTTAGAAACTACACGAATACGATGGCTCGCAAAGTGCAGCAAAGTGTAATGACATTCGTGAGGAAAGCGTGTGTGTGGGGGCGCATCGATTTCAAGTTTGAGTAGCCAGTTGTGAACTTTTCGGAAGTTAAATTAAAAATAAGTAAATGTAATAGTGAAATGACAAGTAACGAAAATCAGTAAATATTATATTTGGGAAAGGTAAATTGCATTTACAATTATAGACGTAAATATATATTTATATAAAGTATAAAGGCGGAAATTCAAACAGAAATTCGTTTCTACCTATGAAGCTTTTAGTGATTAAGACTGTGGATATTTATGCATGTATAACATATACAAATATGTAAGGAATATGTATTTATATAAAATATGCAAAATAGTTATATAATTAAAATCCTTATGAAATGACGTAATTTCCGTTTAAATTTGTTTTTATAATTTTATTCTGTAAAGATAATATCATTCAGTAAAAATTCGTGTATTTTTTCATTGAGAATAAAAACCGTATATCATAATTCAAACGATTTATATACTACAAAATATAGTATATGCATTGTATTTATTCATTTTGTATTAGATTTTCCTTATTACAAGCATCTTTATTCTTTGCATGAACTGTAGAGTTGTATATTTCCTGCCACAAGAGATTAGTTAAATTACTGTTGTCCTTTTTATATGAAAAGTGATTAATGTAATCCACTCCATTTGATACATCTGATGTGTCACAATTAAGGAGAACTTTTTTTCCTAAATATTAAATATTCTGTAAATAAGAAAGTTTTGAACAAATAAATTATATAAGAATTAAGTAAAAGGATACATCCTTTCACATTTTCTTTAAGACCTTCATAATCCCATCTTATCCTAGTTAGTTCCTTGTACAAATTATATTTCTTCCTGTAATAGTTAAAAATTAAGTATGTACCAAAAAAATGATTGTAACATAAATAAAAAAAAATTTATTGTACTAACCTGCCTTGGTCCAACAATTCTTGATCATGCAAGTTTCGTTTGCAGGCCTTAAGTTTGTTTCTCTGCAATTCTAAGGCATGATTCTCCTCTAAAAATTTATTCTTTTCAGCTTCTAACTCTGCCTACACAGATAATATTCTTTCTTATACTCTTCATCAGAAAAAGCAAAAATGAAATGATAATGAACATGAAAATAGTTACTATTAAATCTGAATGTTTAGATAAGTCATGATCTTTATGCTCCAACGTTTGCTTCTCCGATTGAAGACATTCCTTCATAGAGGTTACTTTCGACATTAATTCCTGGATCTTCATTTCATCTTCTACAAGTATGGTAATACCTTTATTCACTCATAAAACATCCAAACAATGGCAGCAATGCAATACAATTACCAGTGCAATGTTCATCTTGTTTGTTTTTAATATGATTCATTAACAGTATTTTCTTTTGTGACAACTCTTTCATCTGCGAATCCGTAACTTCCATATGCTTGTTCTTGAATGTCATTATATCGTCCATTATATTTCTGTTGATAGTATTTTTAATGGAATCGTCACGAAAACATAATTTTATAAATACAAATTCCACTTTCAGTTAATTTGTTCACAGAAATCAACAGAAATTCAAATTGTCACCATCCACTGTGATCCACTGCTGCCAATACCCAAAATCCCCAGGACTAACGAATAACTTGCAAGTCTATATTCTCTATTTCTAAGCCGTTGATAATCAATCTTGATATAAATGTTGAATTACACTGAAATACTATTATTCATTTATCAATTGGAAAACATTTTTTCGTCAGCACAGCTCAATTTTAATACATAGATGGATAGAATGGAAATACAAAAAATAAAGAAAAAACTAGAGAATACAGTAAAAAGAGAACTACAAACAGATATGTGAAAGCATTTTCATATAACATAAAAATAATCGGAAAATGAATTGAGATACATTTCAGTCTACTTTATATGGGAAATACGTTCAAAATCAGTAAAATCTTCAAGCATAAAATATAAATTATGTTCACGTAATTTTTACATTGTTTTGTTATGAAGTTTTAATGCCACTTAATACAAATAGTCAATTGATAGAGATCACCTTTAAAAATGACATGCACTTTATATGTTATCAGTTATATGACTGCTAATCTTTATGGAGTTATGGCATACATAATTGCATAATACCCGAGGTAATAAGTTTAATAGTCTAGAATTTTTTTATTTCATTTTTATTTGACTCCAATTGTTATAAATTATTTTACAGAAGTCTATGTTTGTATAAAAATCGGCAGTCTAATGATATGTTATTTATTTAATGGAAACAGTAAAATATCCGAAATTATGACTTCATGTATACAGGGTGTAACAAAAATGTTGCAGGACCGGAAATGGGAGACTCGTCAGGTGATTTGAAAGAAGTTTTTCCTCAGGAAAAATGTTATCCGAGGCTCCAACATTTTTATTACACCCTTTATATATATACATATATAAATTAGAATACGTAGTATGCAATAAACATAATGTGCTTGCATTGTACCTACTTGGAAGATTCATGAATCAGTACTGACTTGGACTTATATGTTTCTAGTTATACAAAATAGTGTGTTTTTGAAACACAATAAGTCAACAAAGTTATTTTACGATATAGTATTAAATTACTTAAATTGTACGCGTTTTATACTCCCTAACGTTATAAACATATGAGAGCTAACAAAAATGTCTTTTAAACTTAACACATACTTGCCTAACATTTGATAACACTATATGTGTTGCACAATATTGGTCATTTTATATTCTTAATCCAAACATACTTTACTAATAATTGTTATCAAACACTGTCAGTAATTAAAGAAGAATACTTTCCCCACGACAAAATGCAAGATCATGGCGTATTACTGTAAAACAGGGTAACGACTAGACTGCGGATTCTTATGCAAAATTACATTTTACAAAGTAATTCACAAAGACAAGACCAAATATATGAATTTGTTTTTTCTTCTAAATACCTCATTGAGTTAAAAATAAAATAGAAAACTCGTTGTATCTGATGAAAATTTTTATGTTTTACTGTAATTCGTGCTACCTATAAACTGCAAGTGCATACAATCCGCAGTATAGTAATGACCTATGGTACTTAATACTTAAAATACATAGAAATACTGTACAACTTTATAATGACTATTCATGCTGTCGCTGCAAGTTACATTTTTGTCTATCAAAACTCGAGTTTCTATCGTCCTTTCAGAAATAGTATGTTGTTAAAATCAACATTATAACAGATGGTCACAATACCAATTGTACTAATTTAGATGTAAAAAAACTTATAAAATGAAAGAAGAAAATTGAAAATCTTGCAAGGAATGTGTTTGAAGTTGTTTAATGAAAAAAGAAAAATGAAGTACATTGTAAATTAATAAGAAAAATTCTTATCAATTTACTCTGTTTGTGATATATATTAAACTAGACTTTACTAGACCATTTGAAGCTAAAAGTCTTCAAGTGTTTTTTCTCCTTTTTATGTACAAACCTCTTATCTTGAAGTATTCTAACATAAATAAGAATGAAACAAAATCCTTATTACTGTTGCTAGATCAATTAAAAAAAAAGCATTTACCAAATAAGCTTGACAACGCTTCCTTCAAAGTTAGGCACTTGCATGATAAAATATTACATGGTAATATCAGTATCCTTTACGATTAACAATCACCGTTTCGCACATTTAAGTTTATTTGAGCAATTAAAATATTTGATCGTCGCGATCGTTCGCGACCATCTCGAGTATTGCTCGATCCTGACGCCGAGCTATTAGTATTATTAGTATAACTATTATTAGTATAACTATTATTAGTAGTAGTATTATTGCTGTCATCAGACGACGAGTTATTCATTTGAACAATGTTTGCATTGGCACTATTATCCATTTGTTCTGAACTTTGTTCTGCATTTACTATTTCTTGTGTGTGCCTGTAAGCGAATGATTATGTAACTATTGTGATTTAGCCACACAGAGTATTTAGAAAAGAAACTACTAAATTCTGAGAGTTTATTTGCTTTGTATTAGAATTCTCGAAATGTGCAAGATAGCTGTACAATTAATTACAGACGCATTTTGGAAAACAAAAGCAGAGAGGATCATTTACTTACTGTGTAATCCACGTGTTGGAATCATTAGTCGAAGGTGTTTCAAGTCTGGAATGCTCTAGTGTGTTCGTATTATCGTTATTATTATTTAAATTATTTTCATAATTGGGATGACATTGAACCCAATTCGGAGGCTTCAAAAGGCCTGCATGCACTAGTGTATTTTTATCTTTCACGTTTTTGTTATTATTATATAAGATGTATGGTAAGCTCTTCTGATGATCAATAAAGGGACCTGTAAAATGCATCAGTGGAAAAGAAAAAGTGTCAGACATTACACTATCACTGTTGATGTAATGTCAATAATTCTATGCTATTTATTACCGCCTTTTGAACAGCTTGTAGTTAATTCAGCGTTCAAGTAGGTAGATATACTGTAATAAAATGTGTTCTCCGTAAAAAAAAAAAGATGACCGTCATTACGTCACGGTTAGTAATTTATACAGATATAAGAAAGTGCTAAGAAGTGAACAATTTTGACAGAAAAAGCAGACTACGGTGCTCACATATTTTTTGTGTTTATGCGTTGCTATCGATTTGCTAGAAACTGTAGTGGAAAAGGAAATGTAAGTCAATTCTATTTATATTAATACCTTCAAACAGACAGCAAGCTTCATTATAATCTACCTACTTATTAATGAAATTTTTTTGAATAATCTCTTATGCAAGTGTCATGCTAAGTCGAATGAGTTGTGTGCTATAATTGTGAACAACATTCACAAAGACATTTGACAATACTTACTGGCTTCAACCGGCGGAGCACTTGGTTCCATAGTATCACCGCACATTTCTTTATTATAATTTCTCTGTCTTGCGGCTCCTAAAATGTATTGTGTGTGGATTATTTTGGTTATTATTCACTCAATCATATATTTCTGTTGTATTTATCATAATTTTTATTATGTACTGACTACCATTATGGTAAAATTTTTACCTACGTTTTTTGTAAAATACTGCAGACAATATAACTACCAGAAGGAAAGCTGCAATTGATGCAGAGATGATGAAAGTGTTTCTGCCAACTCCTATGAAAATGAAATGAATATTCATGTATATAGATACAATTAAAGCCCCCAAAATCATAATCAAACAAAACTTTTATATTTATACTTGATTTTCTAAAACAATATTGCATAAACCAATGTTTAATAAACTTAACAATCTCTTGTTATACATATTTGAATACTTTAATTAAACAGGCACATTATTTAATTACAAGAATACTGGAACAATTTAATCTACTATGCGATGAAGCTTCAAAGTAGACAATTATGCAGAATGTGTTAAAGTTCTTTTACGTATAATTTTCTCACCGGGCATATTTTCGTGGATGCTCGTTTTCTTGCACAAGGAGGCCTCCTCTCCTGTTGCAAGTCTCTCTGCGGCATAACTGAGAATGATTTTTTCAGTTAGTCAAGAATAAAAAACTAACCTCTACAGTACTACAAATATAAAGATCTCGTAAAGTTAAAGAATATAATTACCCAGGAGTGCATGGTCCACATTGCGATGGATTTCGAGCTGGTTTTTGACTTTCTTTTCGATTATATCTTTGGCACACAGTATAATTGACGCATTGTCTGGAGACAGGATAACAGTACTGTTTGTTAGAACAGTCCAAGTCATCATGACAATATCCTTCCTCTATCGTACCCTTTAAAATAATAATTTTCATATTAGAATGTATTTCTGTGAACGTTTCTTTGAGAGCTAATATTAAGTTTAATAAGGATATACATTTCAAGTGTCATATAGGACGAAATACACGTTTCAGTAAGATTCGAAGTTTTAATAGCTTTCACAAATTAATAAATAACGAATTTTCTTACACTTTCACCGACTCATCTAAATACTAAATAGGTAACTAATTTAAATGAAAGCGAATAAAATAAAACTTTGTATATCATTAAAAAAACGAATTTCTGTGAATAGACTGACTAATATTGGAATAAATGGGATTTCAGCGCGCGCAGTAGTTCCGGTTCACATCTGGTCCATCCAAAATCTTACGTACCACCGAAATTTAAAATCAACAATATCGTTTTTCGAATACGAAGTTCTGAAACCACATGCAATAAAACAATAAGTCGAAATTATTCGCTTTCCGGTACCAAATAACAAATAATGTAGGAACTATAACTTCGCAATGTACTTGTCATTTTAGTATTTTAGGCACTCAGCTATCGTAATGATTATAAAACTATAAACTACTAAAAATACATATACTCATGTGTTTTCTTTCAAACATTCATTATCTAATTAAAAAATTACGTTCCGCGTACATTTACAAAATGGCGTCGAAACTAAATGACATGAATTTGAACGGATTTTGAGCAACAAAGTTCATTAAAAACATTCAACATATCGATTAGTATTATTGCATTTTATATAATTACTTGAGCTTCCCGTCGGAAGATACAAAACTGTCTATGAGAAATCCTATTTTTCACAATAGGAGATTCCTATTTTCCAATCACACGTTTCTGAAACATCTTAATCTCTGAAACGTTATCTTCTATGTTTTCATGTGAACAAGCAGTTGAACAGAAAATGTTTTAAAATACTTTCAAAAAACCCTTTTATATAAATCGCTTTTCACGTGGAAAATGTTTGTGAAATGTAGGGGTGTACGGGTACCCGAGATTTGGGCTTGATTAGACATCCGTAGCCTGCGTAAGCAGCTTGACGGCTCAGATAAGAAGTCTGGTGGGCTCGACAGAAGCGTCACTAACCAGCGAGCGCAGACAAGTACTGCGAATAATGGGGGGAAACGCAATCACGACTGAACCTGAAATCTCGGGTACCCGGCTCGTACACCCCTAGTATGGTTTTTTTTTGTTATAATAACAAAAATACGACGCGGAATGACCACGCGAATTTTGAGCCGCCATTTCGTGGACAGTAAAATCCGCCATCTGAGCGCAAACCTACACTCTGCATCACAAAATGGCCGTTGACCATGATCTGTAAAATTCGAGTTCACTGACCAATCCTTAAACCGCTCTAAGTATTACAAACTACGTAATTTGTTACTACCAATGAATTAGAAGATATTTGTTAATTTCTAAAATAAATATAAATTGTACACTTGAATATTTGAAACTTTCTTCGTTCCGATCGATTGGACTGATAACAAAAAGTTGTTTTCTCAATCAATTATCGTCAAACTTATTCTCTGATTTTCACCTCGTTACGAAAAAGAAGGACAATGTATATTAACAAGAATTACTTATATGCGCTGGTCACACGCAATAGAACCGCACGTAAACAAAAATAATAAAGAGACATTCTTTTATTTTCCATACGATGACCGGACAATTATGTTTTGTTTTAATTTGTAATATATAAACAAGACATATATCTTACGGTGGACAATTGATGACACATTTAACACTAACGGTACCGAGACTTTTATATACCTATTTGTACCGTATTTAAAACCGGTCATTTCGGTCAAGTCGCTTCGGTTATTGTTCAAAAATAAACGGTAATTATCACTGATCCCTTTTTTTTCTTCATGATACGTATTTCTGTAACGCTTATGAAGAACCTTCGTGTGGTCTCCCTCGAATGAGTCATCGCGGCGCGCTGCGCGCGATCGCCCGGCGTGCGTTTCGGTTCTACTAAATAATCAGAACAATACGATTTTCGCTAGAGTAGAGCGTGTTACATTGTCTAAATACCTACCCGCCCGACGTTCGTACTGCTGTTTCGATTAAAATAGAAAAAAAGATTTCCACCGGTTATCAATAATCATGATTGATAAGGGCAACAGTATGCAAGTCACTTTACTGCGTTCGAAAAATTGTGTATTAAACGTGACACCACCAGAAATATTGATCTTTTGGAAAGATCAATCTGGAAGTTTTTAAGAAAAGATGATGAAATCGTGGTGAAAGAAAAGGGTAAGGAAGGGCGAAAGGAGGGGGAAGAGGACGGTGATCTTAATAGACAGAAATATAATTTACACATTATATTTCAGACTATGTACTTATCTCACGTGAAATATATATTGTGTACGGTGCTTACACACGCATTTAATTACACCTGATCTCTTAATGTCGTTATGTTGTTCCAAATTCGCAAGTTTATTGCTTTTTTGACACAGTCCATGAACCGATACATACATTATGCTTTTTTTTAATGGAAGTACTATCGTTGGTTCGTTTTTTAGTGTTATTCTTACAAGTTACAGGTTAAAATCATTCGTTCTTCTCGAAGTGTAAAACTGGCAAATAAAGAATCGTGCGAGTAATGCGAACAGTAAACTCAAGACTCGCAGTGTACTTACCATTGGAAGAGATTATTCGACTGTAGGGAGGATCGAAGTATGTTCTATGATTGCAATTGCAGACGCGTAATAATTGTCTGTAGAATTTTGACAGGTTCATTCGGCACACTATTCACACGTCAAGCAACGCACCAGTTATGCAAGATGTACACCGACCTCTAGGAAGTTCTGATCTGCACTGAACTGGAGCTGACCGAAGCAAGTTCGAACCTGCTCGGAGACAGGTGATTGGAGTGGGGGTGGCGCTGGTGGTGGGGATGAGGGTACCACATGGATACGTACAGGACAATTATTGCTATGCCCACGTGGTATCCGTGCTACCAGCGGTCACAGTAGTGTGGCTATATGCTATATCACTGCTACGTAGTAAACCAATGCATCCAACAAGTGGAACCCTTTGTGTACACTTCCATTCGGATTTTATGATGGTTCGGATTACAGGACACATTCGGCATGTGGAACGCGTGGAAATAAATAAAATGGTAAAGAAAAAATTATGCAAATGAAAGACGAAAGTAAACAAAAATTTAAAGACTCCAAAAGATAGAATACAATTTATTGTTTGATAGGTTTTCTTGACTACTTTTTGAAAGGATACATTTATTTCCTATGAACACTAACGGGGAAGCTTTCCCCTATTCTGTTTAATTTTACCGCAAGTTTTAAGATCAAATCCCCCGTGTATACAAAGCAAATTAAAAGTGTAGAATAAGATTTCTTTCGTATGGAACGTCGGTTTCAAGAAAGTCGAATCTGAAAATTCATTAAATCACTTTAGAATGCGAGTAACTGATGTGTCTGACACCGGTTTTTATTAGTCGCCGTATCTAGTTGTAATATAACGGTTACGGTATGGTTTTTTGATTTGTTATTACACGTAAAATCACTTTCTAGACTTTACCACACATTGCGGGCCAATCTGCGTATTCACAGTTTTTGTACTAATTTGGATTAAAATTTTTCTACGAATTTAAAATTTGTTAAAGTTACCTTCATTAGAAAGAATTAAATAATTTTATGTGTGTTAAATAATACACAATATTAATAACGTGTTTGTAGAAATTGAGGGTATTGATCGGTCAGTGTTTATAAAAAGTATGGTGACTTTTTTCATATGCATACACAAAGATAAGCCCGCGATTCAACAACATTGTCAGGGTTCACGAGTATAATTCGCGATAGCCACCGACCGCACGTGTGGCGTTTCAACGTAACTTGTGCACGATTAAAATTGCCGAACGCTTCAAAGGGAATATCTTACCTACCGCATACCGATATTACGTTCTTGTATATTATTATGCTTTCGTTTATCTTGTACCCTTTCTATTTCTTACAACCTTTGTATTCTCATCATCGAATCACTTACTAATGTGACTGTTCTGAGGGTCACCAGTACTGACACTCAAATTTGTTATCAGAGACTGAATCAAACTGTTCACTTTTACGAATAAAAATTATTTTCAAGTTGTTATCGTCTACATAATTACACCTTTCACATTTCTCCCGCGGAAATTCATTTTTTAATAATTACTATAAGGTAAAATATAAATGAATTAACTATAATTCTGAAAATAATTGAAACAAAAATGCTGTGCCTTTATGCTGTAGAATATAACAATATTATTATTGTACACATCATAAAAACTATACATTACAATCTTGAATTATTAGTACACCATTGGCTTATAGAATTGTGAGGAATTAAACATTGAAAAACAGGATTTAATGAAGTAAAAAACATAATGTGTATTTCTCGTTTTAGTATATATGTACATACACTGATTAAATGTGAACAGCCTTATTTCTATTAATTTACGATATAATAATAAGCCATAAAGTAATACTTAAAGTATGAAACACAAAATTCCAAACATTTCTATAATATCATAATACAATCGCTTTTTAAATTACAACTATTGAGAAATAATACCTAAACCTTTTCTTTCTTACAATAACAACCCTGGAATAAAAAATTTTCCATTTTTAACGTGTATTACTCGTTTGCTTTACATTTTCGTTTTTGTTAAAAAGTTATTGATAGAAGACTGATTTAATTCAGCTTAAAATTTATAATAATCTTATGAAGTTTACTTTTATTGCCGTCAGTCAAATTTATAGTAATGTATAATAAATAATTCTTGATTGTTCACAAAACTGCAAATGTTTATGCATAGTTTAGTAGTAGTAAACATCAACTTCATTTCCATACAAATTCAAAATTATCACATCTAATTTTTCTTCCAACTTATGATATCTTCTGCTTTTTTTGTTGTCTTTTGATTAAAGCAAATCAATCAAAGTACACTGTACAAAAGGCTCTTAGGTTTCTTAATATTTCTCTTTTGCTGTATCCAAATATATGAATCTTCTTTCCACTTTATTCTTCTTTCCAGGTACTATTTCATTCTCTGTGTTACAAACTTTGCTAGCTTATATGTTATTGGCAATTAATTGATATTCACATTACTTCCATGCTATTGTGTGTATTCTCTGTAAAGCCCAACGTGGATGTTGGTGCATCCTGAGATGTTTCTTCTAAAGACTGTGCTTCCATGCCCTCCGGCACAGTACTTGTAGCCGAGCTTGTACCATCGTCCCAATTTATTTTGAATCTAGTGACACGTGGTTTATCTCCTAAGATATTTCTTTGTACTTTGTCAAACTGTGGCTGTGGCGGTGGATTTTCTCTAAGTTCTGCATCTGTGTACTCATTATTTATAAAGTAGCCAACACGTACAAATTCATGCCCCCTATATGAACAAGTTAACAGAACAACTGTAACCCCTAGAGCATCATTGATTGGTATCCTACTGACGTCTGGAGGATCAGCCTAAAATTAAATTACTGTATTTAATACACATTCAAATAATAACTAAAGTACACATAGTAATAGGCTTTTTAATAATACTGGTTGATGATTGTAATTTGTTGTTGGCATTGACAAATTTATAACAAAGACAATTAATCATTGATTCAAAAATGTTATGACCCTTAATTTTAAATTACATGAATTTATTTACATGTGTCGTTCATTTACCTGAAATACAAACATATGCCTTCCCTCAGGGATTGGACCAACGTATATCGTATCTAACACTTGATCAAAATCCTCGGATTCGGCGCTACCGACGTAGATCATCTTCCACTCTAAATCTGTAAATCCATTATTACTATTACATCACTTATCATATATTTTAAAAATATAGCTAACTCTAAGAATAACTTCCATATAGTAAAGATATTCTTCTTGAAAATGAAACTACTTAAAAAAATAATATTTATTTGTCCTTGGAAAACATTGCTAGACCGTTTAAACTAACCTAACAAGGTGTACAAAACATCATAAGACACTTTCAATTCAATTAACATTGAGACGAGCGTATATCTGTATTTATAGATGTGAATAAAAGTTTAAGGAAACTACCTTCTTTCAGTTCTTCGATGCATTCAAACGTGACTTCGAATTGAAACGGGTTTAAAAACGGTGAAGGATTGTCGAGAACAGCTACGTTCGCTAGCTGAACTTTGGCCATCGTTGATATTACTTAATAATAATTTTCACCGAATAATCCGAATTTATTGCGGATTCCTTGAAAGAAAAGTTTCTCAGGATGTATTTCTCCCAACCGTATTTCCGAATCAAGTTGATATGAAACGAAAGATCTTGAGACAAACTATAAGCATTCTACGTTGGACACAGGTCGCTTTGGCGGGAAACGAACCGAAAGACATTTCCGGTGTTTCAATAACAGTTTTGTGAAAATGTGGGAGCACCATCCAACTGTAATTATTTCAAAATTCGTTCTCTTTAATTTGGCGCGGGTTTTAAGTAATGCATGGGAAAAAATCAAGCGTCGTTTTCGCATGAATTACAAAAGTTGTTTTTAAAATTGTTTTTAATCACTTTCGTGATGTTAAAGCAATCCATTGTGCATGTTAGCTCTTTAATTGAAAACGTGATGGCACTCGATCTACAGTTTAGATTGAACGTAAAATGACAAAGTATTAAGTTTTGAAAAATTAAAATGATGATATAATTAAATCCATTGGTTAAACGAAAATCTTTTTATGAAATCCATTGTGTATAGATTAAAACAAGTTACTTGAACTAACTTTTCTTAAGGGCTATTTACAACAAAGGAAGTTATAATTGGGTAGCAGATATCGTATATCTTGCAGAATTTGCAATGCAGATATGTCTCATACCTCGTCTGTGTTCACATCATAGATGATAATTATAATATGATATATATAAACGTCGCTAAAACTATGAACACTTTAAAATTACTTGAATGGTTCTTCAAAAAAATATTGCAATTTTTCTATGTCTCATTCGTTCTAGTCAGCTTAAATATTCTGACTGCATAAAGTGAGTATAACACCTCACAAGGTAGATTATATTTTAGATGACTGTGTTCTCCAAATACAAGGTTGAAAAAATCCGAATTTCTTGGTGAAGACGGAAGAAATAGTTTAATCAATCACGGAAAGGAAGTTGCTACTAGCGCATGCAAAAAATGTGCCACTTCTTGGATCATTATGTTCTTCTAATAGTGGCTCTAGAATGGTGATGACGGTAATAATGGGTTTAAGAAGAGTATATGAATTAATAAAGTATATGCAGTTAGAATATTTAAGCTAACTGTGACAAATAAAATTTAGAAAAGTTTCAAAGATTTATATGTTGTACATCAATATCCTTTCAAAATGTTTATAGTTTTAGAAACATCTGAGAAAACTTGAGAAATTACTGCAACTCTACTACCCTGATCCAGATAACTCTAGGTCTAATCATTTAATTTAACTAAATTTAATAACTTGAAACTTAAAAGACGCTTCCCTCACTTAGCTCGAGTTGGATTGAATAATATGTAATTCCCGAATCCACCATTTTCATGACATAGAGGACACTAAAATTATAGATTTTTTAAGGTGGCGGCATTAAAGATTCTGAGGACCACGAAGTTCCGTAAGAAGTAAACCCTATTTTTATACTTCGTCTGTGGCAATTGTTATAAACCCGCAGTTGTAAATAGTTGTAAACAAGATCTAATGCACGGGTGCGCAGAATCACAGTCTAGCAGACAACTCCGTGACGTGTTGTCTCATCGAGTTGAAAATGTTTCGCTCTATTATGTTTTCGCGTAAGTTTCGTCATGACCACTTTGAATAATCTTCAGTTTCAACAATTAAGCGAGAATGTTAACAAATGAATAAAACATAATTGTCTTTTCTCCGTGTTGATAATTACGAAAATACAAACATATTCAGTACATGCTTTTCCGTAAATCCACTTTGTGTCTAATTCTAACAGTTTGCATTGCATAAGATTAGGTAGCTCAAACGAGCCAAATTAGTATTATATTTTTTGGCTGTTGTCACAAACCGTTGTTTCAAATTCGATTGCAAAACATTTCATAACCTCTCGAGTTAAAATGAATTTAAACATCCACAAGATATTACGAGTTCGCTATATCTTGTCCACCAAACATAAATTTAAAAAGATTCCGATGAACGAACATTTTTATTCTGATTTTCAGCCACTGTTAATCAGGGCCTAGTGTCTCTGATTCGCAATAATGTAGCCTTGATAGGATGCCCTGCATCTTTGGCAACTCAGATCAGGAACACAGCCACTGTACCAGAGAAAGTGACAAGAAAACCTTACAGTCCCTTCCAAAATACGAGTAGCCTTGGAGAATATGCAGTGGCAAGATTGGATGATCTTTTAAATTGGGGTCGCAAAGGTTCTTTATGGCCAATGACATTTGGTTTGGCTTGCTGTGCCGTTGAGATGATGCACATTGCTGCGCCCAGATACGATATGGACAGATATGGAGTAGTATTCAGAGCTTCTCCAAGACAAGCCGATGTTATTATTGTTGCCGGTACTTTAACAAACAAAATGGCTCCAGCATTGAGAAGAATATTTGACCAAATGCCTGAACCACGATGGGTAATTTCAATGGGAAGCTGTGCCAATGGTGGTGGCTATTACCATTACAGTTACTCTGTCGTTAGGGGGTGTGATAGAATTATACCTGTGGACATATACGTGCCAGGTAATACATTTGTTGTATATTTAAACAAAATCCTTGTTCATTTAAGAAATGTTATTTGTATCTATCTATAAAATTGTATTATAGGATGTCCCCCAACTGCAGAAGCTCTAATGTATGGTGTACTACAACTACAGAAGAAGATCAAGCGTATGCAAACAGCTCAAGTTTGGTACAGAAAGTAATGTAAATGAATTTGATAAATGTAGTAACTTGTGTATAAATAATTTTGTTATCATACAAAGTGTAATTAAGGTAAAGAAATGAAATTATGAATCGTTTTAAATAGTGATTAAAAATGGTAATCACTTCTTAAAATGACTTAACTTATTATGTAACCATGTTTATTCCTTATGTTTCTATTTTTCATTGGCACTGTCATAATTTTTAACCATAAAAAGCTACGTATAAATACTACAAATAAAAAATTCGTTAACATTGTTTCCAACAATATAATTCTCATGATCATGAATACATAGAATTACACTAAAAGAAACATAGTAAAACACTTTTACAGACATGTAATTCGTTCTATTCATTTCATTGTTTTTACTCTTTATTATCTTCACTATTTAAAATATGTACAGCATCCTTAATTTAAACGAAGCAAAGAGTTAGGCGGAACATCTTTGCCATTTAGCTTACCACATATTAAGGCCCCTTTATTTTTTCTTCTTTATATATTGCTCTATCTAATGCTACTTACGATTGTGTTTATTTTAATTATACATTACATACATACATTGTTTAATAAAAACACATCAATTGATACGCACCACGCATACGATAGGTACGATATTTCTTTTTTTTTTCCTTTAAAAAACCATCCTGCAACCTATTGTACCTATTACTTCATCATGTCCACATACAAGAGCACACGTTTATGAACATATTGTATGTCTGCTATGTCCACAGCCCGAATTTTAAACGTCTACTTTGGTCATTGAAGAGCATATTACGCCGAAAATACAGAGTGACTCGCGAAAAACAGAACACCTCAATATCTAGATAAATTTAAAGATAGAAGAAAAGTCAAAGAGAAAAGACTAAAAGATAAAATGTAATGATTAATGACATAAACAGATTTTTCATTAGTTTCATCATCAAGATCATTCAAAGGTCATTAATTTTATTTTTTAAGTAACAACACCCGTACTTCTGATTTCATAGTATTGTCACTGTGTATTGTTTAAAAACCCACAGACAATCTTCAAATCACCTTGAAAATGTTATTAAAAAAAAGTACTTGTAACAGAGGTGCACCATTTTTTCGGACTCACCTTGCATAATCATTACTCCGTTGACAATTTACACTTACTCACCGATTCGTGAGAATTTTCAATCTGATTCGAAATTTAACTCTTAGTACTTTTCTTTTTGAAATATTATACGCGTATCATATTTGTTTATCCATACATCGTACCACAATTTTGTACCATAACGCATTGGATCAGTGTCAATTTAAAGCCTAATCGTGCAGGCATACTTGCCAATATGCTATGTGAACCTAAAAAGACAGAATTACAAATTTAAAAGATACACAAAGTCAGCGTACAATCATAAAATAATAATGTTACAATTCTTTTCTAGATTCCTTATGCCTGCGGTATCGCATATGGACAGATTTCCTTCTTAGAGAGCAAATGAAATGTAAAAAAAAAATATGAACGGAATTCAGCCAAACGCGTTGGTATTTTTTGTTTTTCTTTCATAGAAAGTGAACAACACTAATAAGTTGTATTTTTAAATATGCCCCTCGATATAAGCATAAATAATACATATTTGATAATCATTTTCGCAGCAAAAACTACTACCTTTACAGCATAAATTAAGCTTAAGGCTAGCTCCAAGGAAAAGTCTTTGTGCGGTGGTATTGAACAATTACGTTAAAAAAATGACTAATTCCCGTTTTAATGTGCTGTCCCGACACTCCGAGTTTCAGTGTTGTCGCTTTTCATTTTTTTTTCCTTGCTTCCCTTGGTTTGCAGATGTACAGTTACGGAATAAAGAAAACAACGAGGTCCTTGATAATTTACAATATACAAAATAATAAAATATATCAAAGTTCTATACATATGTTCATCTCTTGCGTATCCTCGGTGACACAGAAAACAACTACAATAAATTGTTTGTACAAACCTATATGTATATATATATATATATAAACTTTATGAAACTCCGGAAACAAAGGTCTGTGATTTATACCTGAAAAGATTTTAAATGATAAACAGCGAGTTTGGATATTAGTCAATACCCATGCTAAATATTAAATTTGTTATTCTGGATTCCGATTGCGATCCTATGTAGTCGTTCGCGGCACGATAGTCAATTTAATTAATTTCCATTTAACAGAGCTCGGGCTCTCCTCTGTTTTTCTTTCTATAATTGCCCCTATTGTTTTATTTTTTTCTTTTTGTTCATCCTGTGATTCGACAAGAAAATTGTACAAACCCAGCACAGTTCTGTGCTCCGCCAAAATACTTTACACATTTCGAATTACGCTTGTTTAAGTATAGGAATTTTGAATAATATTAAAGAATAGCTTGCGACGTGGAAGGCGGTGGATTGCTCGGCAAGGCTGGAACTGGTCCATCGGTCCACTGTATGAGAGAATGTTCACCCATTTGTGTGCTTTGAAAATGATCTTTCAACAGCGTTTGCGAAAACGTGCAGTGCATTTGGTACGCTTCGCTTTCGCGAATTGGATCGCCGCAAATTCTGTAAAGATCTATCAACAGAAGCAACTTGCTTTAATTTTTCCGTGACTTAATTTAAATCCGATTTCGAACACGATGTTTACAAATACTGAAACAAGTGCATACCTTTGAGAATAGCAGTTGCCCATAATTGTACGTGAACGTCAGGTATTTTAGAAGCTAACTGCATCGCAGGTGTGACCATGTTCATGGATTCTCTGCTATTTCCTAACGAAAGAAATATGTGTCCCAAAAGTACAAGGCTACACGAGGTAAGTCTGTTCAAATCTTCCGAGTTGGCCATCTTTAACGTTTCTCGAAGATATCTCCTGAGAATTCATATGCAGATTTAGACGTTTATAATAACCAATGCTGAATTATCATACCACTTATAACACCATATATCAATTCGTACTTTGCTTCGTTGTATCTAGCTCCAAAAAACGCCTGCAATCCTTGAACATAGTACGCCGCTGCTCTCAGAGAATGCGAATGGGATGGCAATGACTCTGGGTTTATTCGTTCGAGTAAAGCACCTAATTCCGTATCTCTCTTAGTTCTAAGGTATACTATTGCTAGATTTAAATTTGCGAAGGTCCAGAGTTCTCTTTCTTGGGACGTCTGCAGAGGAAAAACAGATTACGAACTATTTGCACAAGCAACAGATACAGTTACTATTAATTATATTTGTTATCTTACTCTGAGTGCAGCTGTAAACTGAGCTTCTGCAGCCTCCATGCAATTCATTGACATCGCGTACAATCCTAACAAAGCATGCAATTGTGGTCTGTGGCCTTGAAGTAACCTTGGCTGTCTCCTACAAAGCTGACATGCTTGAGAGATTTCCGCAAGAGCCACACTCTTATTTCCCATCACCAGTCGACACATCACTATATGTTCCAACAACATCAGTTGAAAAACAGATAGTATAGGTTTGTTGTCAACAACTGTGAAACAGTATAAATCTTAGATTCATTGTCAAATTATAGACAAACCATGTAGCACTATTATACTGTATTTACTTTTTAGTTTTTCAATTTGAGTTAATGCTTTGTCTGTATATTTTTGAGCTTTGTCCATGTAACCAGCTTGCATCGAATGCATGACTGTTACCAAATACACCAAAACATATAAATGGTCCTTTGGCATCCAGATAAACATATCCCCAATATTCGAACCTGTAACTATTTCATCAGCTGGCCAACTAGGAGACATTATAGTTTGTATACTCTGTTGTAACTGTTTCAAACAGGGTTTCACACTTTTCACCTATTAGGAAGAGTAGTAAAGGTATATACAAAAGGGGTTTTCAGGAATAAAATCAAAGTACTATTTCTTTCTTACCTGACCTGCCATTAAGTAATGACAAACTTGAAGTACCAAAAAATATACTTTTAAATATTCTTTCTGGTGTGGGCTACCTTGCCAATTTTCAACATGATGCCCCGCCGAATTTAAAAGGGGATGAACTTCGGTAAATTTCTTGTCTATTAATAAAAGCATACATCTGCTCAACAAGAACAGGACACGTGTGTAACTTGCATTGCTGATATGAGAGTAATCGACGCCTACAGCTAGTAAACTACTGGCTGCGACGAAATCTTTTTCTGACGCGTGTATTTGCTAAAACACAAAACAAGAATCATATACTTCTAGTTAGCTATCAAAATTATACAATATTCTATAGTTACTTACTGCAAGTTGAAAAATAAGTCTGCAGTGCCAATATACATTATGCTGTGAGAGTTCAATAGCTTTCCTCAATATCGGTTTACTGAGATTTGGTTGTTGCTGCTGCTCGTACAATTCTGCAACCACACTCGCTGCCTCAAATTTTACATCATCGAAGGTGTTTATGTTTTGGCTCAAACGCCACTGAAATTCAATGTAAACTATTATAAAATCAATTCTTAAATCACTATATGTTAATCAATTTTAACAATTTATAAATCGATATTTTAATCATTCGGTACGTTACGTTACCGACAGTACCAAAATAAAAAGAAAGGTTAGAATCGTCACTGAAAGAAACACGGAAGTCTAGACGAGATATAGGCTAACGATGAAAGACAACACCGAGAAACACAGAATGAGAGTAATTGTGATACGAATAATATTGTGACTGACCGCTTGTTCTAAATGAGACCGCGCCAAATCGATGTTTTTGGTATGCGTAAGAAGGATGTTGCCCAGCTGAAGATGTGTACGTGCCTCGACCCTCGGAGGCGGCTTGAAATTGAAAACCGCTTGCAAACACTGTATACACGATTTGATATTCGGCGGACTTGACGTCCGAAAGTTTTCTGCTAGCCCTAATAACGACAGATACCAAGCGTCCTGCGAAGACGCCATTTTGACATTTCACACACAAGCAAAATCTCCAGCCGTGATAACACAGGAGCACTGACTTCACGCCGGGGACACTCGTCACCGCTCACAATGATAATTCTGTCGTTTTACAAACAGCGAAACTGCGATCGAGAAACGATTTACAATTTCGCGGGGTCCCGTCAAATACGTTCACCCTGGAAACCGCTGTATTGCGTAATGTTTACATACATATGCAACACGACGTTTTGTATACGCTATTGCTTCACATTTTTTGTGCACGTATTAAGAATTTCTGTATGCGGACACGAACCGTTCATGTTCCGCGAGCGAAACGAATCTAGGCGGACCACGGCATCATTCATTTTAATAATTTTTTTATGTATAACGGTAATAAACTGTTTTCGGTCAACTTCGTTGGAACCGTAATATAACTGAGGTGTCTAGGGAAATATCGTTTTTCTCATCAGGAAGATGGTGGATTTGAACTTGCAGCTCGTTGCTACTTGAGAATTATTTGAGACGAAATGCAATATACATGAACGCATTTAATAATTAAAATGATTAAATAGCAATGATATAAATGATGATTGATTGGACTTGATTCTAGTTTAGTGTATTTATCTGTAATTAGGTATAGGTATGAATCGATATATACAAGTACATACGAGTACATTACTCGATACTTTTGTTTCGATACCGAGTAAATATCGATACCTTGGTGGTATCGATTCAACCCTAATTAGGTACACATATGCAAAATATAACTGTTTCTTATGCTATGCTACATACTTAATGGCGTATAATGCGCATAGACATGTATAATAGACTGCGAGATCTTATGGTAGGGCTGAAGTCGACACAACAGAGAGAGAGAGAGAGAGAGAGAGAGAGAGAGAGAGAGAGAGAGAAATAGTTAGAGTAGCTGCATCTCTTTCTAATGGGACTATTGCTGGGGGGTTCGTTAGCTCTGCGTTTTAAAAAAATTCACGAAGACTACATATACATATTATGATAAAACCTTCAAATCAAACAGGTGTACCGTTATTGCTTTATCTAGTTTTACAATACAAAAACACAATCAAACAAACCAGTGGCGCTATCTGTGGTAGATCGTCTAAGCTATTAGTGAATTAATATTTCATTTTTTCCGTGAGATGACAAGGAATAATAAAAATGTAACAAGCGGGTTGTTTTCGAATAATAACATTTCAGGAGACTTTAGTAAAGAATTCGACATCAGTGAAACACATGCTTAGGCATGCATCTTTAATTCATTTTTATTTTTCTCAAACAAACGCCAGAGCAGCATTTTAACGGCCTCTGATGGCAAGAGCACAGTACTAATTAGCTAATAGCTTAGATGTTCTTCCGTAGATAGCGCAACGAGCGTTTTTTTATCTCATTCATCATCAAATACAGTGCAGTAAAAGTATAGTCTTTCTTAGAGCAACACTGTAATACTAATTGTTTTAAAGAAGATAACGCTGCGAGAACTCTTTAATTATTAAATATTAATAGAAAACGCAGCAAATATGAATTGTTAATAAACAAAATCAAACAATCTGATGTACCCATTTTCTACGTACTTTATGTTTAATACATGATACACCACTGACGATCAAGGCAACTTCCGAATTCAACTAGTGACTTTCAAATACTCGGAACAAGGTGAACAAGTATTTTAATCGCCGGTGTACTCCAAACATATTCCTTAGCAACAGTTCTCGAATATATCCCTATTCCGGAAAATAAAACTGTTGCCAATTTCCAATGATAGGTTCAAATCGTATCACGTGACTTCTGGCGGTACCAGCTCCCTACCTTCAAAACAACGATAACAGTCGTTGTTTGCTTAGTCCTCCTCACAGGAATAACGGAAGGAACGCTAGAAGAAACTTTGAACGAAGCAGCGAAAACAAAAGTGGAAATGATTCACGTTCCCCGGAAGCACAACGAAGTCCTCTGAATCAGGGAGATATCCCACAGGTGCAAAAGCTCGCTCCCTGGTTCAAACGACTGTCCCCATGTGGCCACCGCGCGTCACAATGTAGGATATCCCCTCCAGAAAGTAAAACGTCGGAGAAGTCGAACTGTTGGTGCGCGTTTCGCACTCCATCGGGGCGGTCAGTCGCGATTTCAAATTAACCAGGAGAGGCGTCGCAAGTAAATTTTTTTTTTATCTTCTGCCTTTCGTCCGCGTGTCTCCTCACGACGGTGATATGTGTTCCCGCGGTGCATTGCTGCTCCTTTGCTCGGTCCTGATGCTCGTCGGACACCGGTGCGAGGAAAACAACGCCACGACCGTCACCACTGAGGAAAACGCGCTGGCGAAACTGGTGAAAATGTTCTCGAAACCGGGCGCTTTCAAACGAGTGAGATTTCAAACATTAATTATATGTCCTCGCAGGGCCGAATTGAGACATTTAGAGGCCCTAAGCGCTTAAAAGATTTTGATGTCTCCATATACATACATAGTGGCTGCCAAATGCTTCCGGCCAAACTGTAATTCCATCATATTTTTGTCATAACTGTTGTCAGTCCCGTATTTGTTAGAAACAGACGAACAGATTATTTTTATGCAAGAAAAATTTTTTAACATCACCAAAGCTGACGAAGCAATGTATATCTTCAATATTTTGTATATCAAAAATTTATTCGTATTATATATTTTTAAAAAGATACGTTGAAATTGGTCCATGGTAAATCTAGCAATGGAAAATTTTTGTGGCGTTCTCCTTTCCTCGATGCCCTGAGCACGTGCTTATTTTGCTTAATGGTTAATTCAGCCCTGTATCCTTGGCTCGTCGCGAAACTCGTCCCTGACAGGTAAACCACGGATTTCCATGCAGTCACAATTCATGAGAACAATTCCCCGAAAAGGCGGTATTTATACGAAAATTAATTTTTTCTCTGAAAATTATATCGATTTGAATGGCTGTTTCGTGTCGATTCGAGTGAACTTTCTGGAGATCAAATTTTGAAAAAATATTTTTTTTGTCTGCTTTTATTTAAATGGTACCATTAAAGAAAGGTAACGTACCATTAAAAAGGTATCATTTAAACAAGGAGCATACAAAAAAATATGTTTTTTTTTAAATTTGATCTCCAGAAAGTTCACTCAAATCGATTCGAAACGATCATTCGAGTCAATATAATTTTTAAGAGAAGCAATCAATTTTAATTAAGACTTCGAATCTTTTATTCGTAAGGTCATTCGAGATTTCCGGTCGCGCGTGGAAACGGATATGCGCAGGATCGGTAATACGCGTGCTGTGATCGTAAAGGACTCTGAAACGGTCCGCTGCTAAAAGTGCCGGCAACTTTGTTGCGTAACAAAAGTCCGCGTATAACCGAAGAACGTCCGTGCACGCACAATTCTGGAACGCGTGGTCGTGCCAGGATTCTAATGACCACGGGAATGTTGTAATTACCGCTGTACCAAGGTTTACGAATAAGGATTACTGTAATATAAGACATTCTGGATAATATTATGGAATCTTGCGTGTATTCCTTCGACACGGATCAACTTTCACGAAAAAAAACATTGCAAATATACGGAATTTCAATTTTTCAGTTAAATGTACCAATAAAAAATACAAAATTTTTTTCGAGATTATTTGGAATATTGTAAATTTGGTGGCATTAGACTACTTAACAATTTTTTGTAACTTTTCTTATGACGATATAAAGAAGTTTTATGTTTTTCATCAAATTTTGAGAATCTAGATATTTTACAGAACATAAATGATCAATAATTCGCAGCATTTTCTTAGCTAAAATAAACGAGTTAAAATCTGTGTTTTTGTTTTACTTTTCGTACAGAATCTTGATGGAATCGGGATATTTACAAAATCGGTTATGATTCGTTAAAGAATTCTTAATTGAGAATACCTAATTGGGGTAGGCCGTGTTGCGTAGACGTTGCACGGTTGCTAGCCACCACGAAACTGCCCGCTACCGTGTACTTTCAGATTAATGCAATACTCGGTGAAAATTCGATCGAGGAGTCTTACACATCCTGCCCGAAAGGTGAGGAGGGCCTCGAGTGCAGAAGAGCCGAAGCTCGACGATCGGTCGACTGTCCAGAAGGTAATCAAAAAAGAATTTAAAACAGTAATATAAATACAGCGATCCTAAATAGGATAGGCAAGCCTCAAGTTAGCTGTACTACGTAAACTTTCTTTTCCATGTTAAGATCTGGAGTATGCACATCCTCAGGCACAACTTGTATTCCGTTACACAATGTTCCTTTCGTCCGTGTTGTATGATCGATGCCTAATAGTCTGCGAAACGTGAATCCCCCGAGAAGCATCTCGGGTAACGTGTGTTCCCCGGGGAAAGTAGAAACGTTTCTGCACGACCGAAATGACATGTTTCTGGAAAGGATGATTTATCGCGTCCCGCTGAATCACTAGACTGTACTTATGCGTCGATCGGTCGGTGCATCTAATTCATAGATCGACACTTTAGCGCGGCGTGCGAGCGATGCATTTAACGTGGGCAAACAATGTCCGGGAGTGGCTATGTCAAGGTCAGATTCTCTATTGTTCACGGCAGAGGTGCTGTTTTTTTTCCATACAACAACAGAAATCGGAGTGTTAGTGCCGGGCTACAAAGATGTAATTACAATGTACAGCGAGTTTATCATCCGCCTAACATTTTGCAGGCGTACAGTGCCGCTAAAAAATTGTGGCAATACTTCTTTAATGTGTGAAACTAAAACGAGATTCTGACAATCAGCATGTTTACCCACGAGCAAACTCGGCTTCCACTAGGGGAAAAAGTAACGTAGGGAAAGGGCCTCCTACCATTTGGTATTTAGAATTACTGAAATGTATACCAAATTAACATACGATTTAACATTTATTTCACTACCTAGAATAAATTTACCAAGTGGTAGAAGACTTTTCTCCTACGCCGCTTTTTCCCCTAGCGGAAGCCGAGTTCTCTCGGGAGGGTTCATAATCGTTATGATATTCACTGTACTCATCATAGTCATCACAGTAACCATGGTGATCAAATTATAGTCGTAGGACATATTATATTCATCATACTAATCGTAAGCCACATAACGGTGATCATCATACATCACAACGGTTATTAATTATTCAATAACTGGAATCAAGAATATTGATGATTGATTAGCCTGCTTTCACCGGTACTGGCGTTATTACGATCTTAGGTTATAGGTTAAATTTTTTCCAAGCATAAACAAACGAGACATATATTAAAGCCACTCCTACGTACCATTTGTTCGCGCTATTATAAATGCATACCAGCGCATGAGAGCATTAATCTTTAGATTAAACGCACCTCGGGATCGTATGGAATCTGAATCGAGTAAATAGATCCATCGTGTAATTTACCCTTCGAGGCAATCCGTCAGGAGGCGATAAATCACTTTTACCCGAGACGTGGCTCGCGTTCCGTTCCGAGCGTTTCTACTTTTTCCTTGCGTACATACGAAAATAATATTCATCCCCTGATGGACTGGGCATTAGTTTTGTAACATACTTTCACTGCGTACGATTAGTATTGAACCGAGTCTAGATTATATCTTTTACAAAAAATAGTTGATGCGTACAGTCATACTTACATATGCCCGAAAACCAATGAAACTGTAACTAATTTCGAAATTAGGACATCCACGCAGAGAAAGGCAGAGTCTGATATCGCAAACTTTAGAAGCAGGATGTAGTTTCGTGTCTTCGTAGAAATCTGCTCGTGCAGAAAGTCACTTAAAATTAGAGGTTGTCATTGGTGGGTTGATGATCTTTCTGTACTACCGTTAACCTAAAATACATTCACGAATTTGTCTCGATAACCTAAATGTCCCCCTCCAATGTCAGCCACGGCATCCGAATCAAGCGTAACACAGCTTTGTACGATCTTCTATCAAAACAATACCAGTGAAATTCAATATTGCACACCGAAGCTCCGTTCCAGTCGTTATTAATGCCCGCGTTTACGATAATTCGTATCGGTCCTGGTATCCTTTCACAATGCAACGCGACCAAGGAAGATTTAGCGACTGGGGGCCTACCATTATGCGCACGGCACGCGTGCAATCACGTCTAATTATCTCGTCGCGAATGGAACCGAGATGAGCATATCTGGGTGTACATGATTTCTTGGAATATTCTTTCTCTGATTCTAATTACGAATCTCTTCTGGTTAACTCGCGATGTGGTGCAGCACGACAAGCGACAGATGATCTACCTAGTCGAGTTGATAGTTTCAAAGCGAAGGTGAAACGCGCGATTTTCTCCCGTTAACAGTATTCTTAGGACAGACTCGACTTTTTCCATGGAAACTAGATTGATGATCGAAGGATTCGAAACGAAAACAATATATTTGCAAAAGTTTTTCCCGATTTATGGAAAGTCCGTTAGCAGGGGACTCATTACCGAAAAATAACCAACAAGCTTGTACGCAGTCTAGTGAATTCTATTTTTCCGGACATTTATCGATCGTTCGAGATGTTCGATTGGACTCGTCATCTCGACAATCTAGTTTCCATGGAAAAAAATCCAATCTGTCCTAGGAATACTGTTAACGGGAGAAAATCGCGCGTTTCACCTTCGCTTTGAAAATATCAACTCGACTAGGTAGACCAGTTCTCCGGTGAAAAATCCGCACGTGCGGCGTACGTGACACGCGATACTGTTGGCCGTGTTCTGTTCTTTTTCCTCGACATTCGCATTACGCTTGTTTAACGTAAAGGAGTCAAGTGACTTACTAGTGATGTAAGGCGTGCACGGGTACCTACCGGAGTCGCAATGGGATAATGTCTGAATAAACTAGATGTATAAACACATACACACACACACACAGTGTTGAAAAGAATCGGGAGATGTGGAGAGCTAATGTAATTTAACCGGTCGATGCTTGGGTCATTGTTGACTCGACTTCGTTTTGAAAATATAACGACAGCAAATGTATAGGAAAATCTGTGAAATATATGAAACATAATTTCGAAAATGCATTTAACGTATATGAAGACAATATTTCATGCACATTGTGTTTCTATATAAATAAAAAGTGAAATATATACATTTTTTTAATACACTGTAATGTTTGATGCTTTAGAATCTGGTCTTAAAGAATGCATAGTAACAATATATGCATGGTCACGTTTATATATAAATAATACTATAGCATGGGTTACATTTAACCCGATATCGAGGCTAATGATTTTATCACGGATCTCTGAATGAATATAATGGTAATGAATTGCAGATACTATATCTGATAAAACGAAAGGATCGATCAACAAGGGCATGTACCTGTTCATAATTTTTTTTTTCTTTCAGGTGACTGTTACTGCTACAATTGTGCGACAGCTGGCCCCGAATTGTGGGCCTCCTGTTGCCGTGAAAGCCTGCGATGCTGTTCGCATCTCGCGGCGGCCTGCAGAACCTGCGACCACCCGACGTTATATCCGTTTTGCTCGAAACATTTCAAGAAATGCCTCTCCGAATACAATGAAAAGGAACAGAACTGACGTGACGATCGAGAGAAAAAGACCATCGTCGTTCCTCTAGATGCGCGAGTATACCGTTTAATACGAAATAACAATAAAAGACAATACAGACAAGGGTGAATCTTAAACATCGCGCTCTCGGTGACAACGATGGCGCTACTGTTCTCCTGTGTTGTCTTTTTTATAATAAAACGAAATGTTAAGTATACAACGCCACGGTAAACGGGCACGGTGACTTGAAATACCTCGAGTCAATCGTGGGTAGCTTGCATAAGCTGAAACTTTTACGTCGAGTTTCTAAATATAGCGTCTATCATTCGACTCGCTAAACTGGTCCCCCGTGTTATTTTTTGCCGCGGACGTTTCGCCAAGATAGGAACTAAGATGTCGCGAAATAAATGGTGCCCCTCCCCGACTTGTAAAAAATGTTCATCAGAAAAACGTTTGTCTTGCTTTTTTCTTTGAACGGTCCTTTCCAAGAGACACGTATTTGTCCCCTGTTTGTAAAACCGTACGAACTGTTTCGACACAGTAACAGAACTATTCAGCGTGTTTTGGAAAAGTATTCTGAATATATAGTATAGAATGTAATGCATAAAAGAGCTATAGTTGGGAACAGATTGATTGATCGTTCAAAGTCATTGACGGAATGACCTCTATCGTAAGATTGGCTTCTTCGAATTCCAGCTGGAAATAAACAAATAACCGAGTTAACTGTAGAATGAACTGTGTAAAATGTAGGTTTCGTTATACATAGTGAAATATGAAGTATAAATCGTGGTTGGATTGGTAGTGGAGGCATCGTTTTGAACAGATAATTAACCATATGATTCTTACCATATGACACATCCAAATGGGATTTTAAGAATAAATAACGGTTATCCTACTAATAAATAGAAATACAGTATTCTCTCGTTATAAGTCTACTATTGTTGAGTACTCACCATTAATACTTCTTTAGTAAATAATAGTTATACAAGTATGGAAAGAGATAATGTCCTTATCTCCAGATAAAATGTAACGAAAGAATATTGTAGATCAGTGTTACTCAACGAAAGCTTTCCCCCACTTTACTACCGTTAGGTTTTTTGCTCCGCCTCCAGTAGCTTGCTTCAAATGTAGAGGGAGAAATAGTAGACCTCAACCGTCGACATCGCTCACTATACGCCCGTATTTATACATGACTATTATACATGTATATGACCTTCGATTAGAATAACCTTCCAGGCGTGTCAAAGTTTTTATCGAATACCTCAAAATACACTCTTTACATAAATAATATATATATATATATATATAAAAATATATATATATATATATATATATATATATATATATATATATATATATATATATAAATCAATGAAAAGAAAACAATAAGAACAAAAGGAAGTCACAGATTTTGTAATCTCGAATTCTTGAGTGTTCTCAGGTAGCTTTACAAAATTAGTAAAAACTTAATACTTCCTAAAGGCTAACAATCGCAGACACCTAGGACTTACCCCCGGTCGTACCTTATAATATTATGTCAGAACACTTAAAGGAAAATGTTCGAAACGAACTGCACCAACAACAGTCGCTTTCAAATACACTGCCGCTAAAAAGTTTGGAATTTTATTATTATGGACGATCTGCACTTTTCAATGGACAACAATGAATGGTCTAATAGAAATAAAACCTTCCAGTATCCTCTCCACGTTTAAGACGAACTATACGAACCATGCAATGCAAAAATTATCCCAAAAACACCGTCTTTCAGTTCGAAGTAAAACAGATTTAAACTACGTGTGGACCACGGATAAATTTTTATATTTCAACAATTCCTGCCGATACACTTTTGCCATAAATATCTCGAACCAATTGTCCGGTCCAATGTCTAACCAATCATTCTGCGTGACTAAAGAAAACTGGTGTAACCCTGAAAACAGAAACAAACAGACACTATTATCGTTTGCTCGTTAACCATCATAGAAACAATCCGAAACTTTCGAACGGCAGTGCACATATGGCTTCTGGTTTAATAATTTACAATGTGTACCGATCGCACGACCGAATATCATAAATATTCGATTTTCGAATATCGTAAGTGTTTCGCCATTATACCGATCGTGGTGCTGCGCGCCCTCGAAGCACCGTTTCTCGTCGTCCTTCGAGTGCGTTCACGCATACCGCTAACTTTCCAAAATTATAAACAACAATAATAAACATCACTCGGAAATACAATCATTGATAAGCTTTATTCGTGTAGTCTCCAGAGTATTCGGTAAACTGTACTTTTTTTTTTGTTTTTTTTTTCGTTAAACTACTAATCCTATAAATTGTGGGGCAGAGAGATTCTCGGTCAGGTAGTCAGACTTAAGATACAACGGTACGAATTTTTCTTTTTTTCTTGGACGTTCAAATTTTTCGCGATGCCTATAAACACGTTTTTTTTCCCCGTTCACTTTTTTCCCCCCCCCCCCCCCAACGAAATATCGGACCGCGTGTATTTTTTTCTCGTTCACACAGCTTCTCCAAAGTACCTTAAGAATACTAATCCACCATATTCGAAGTTTCTGTATTGCTTTAGCTTGTCGGGTGTGAAAAATTTCGATATCCTCTAATTCCCGTATCATTTTCTCTTCTACACACTACCGCCCTGCGTGAAATTTCCCAGGTGAAGAAGTTCCCCTCTTTTTTTATTAGCGAAAAACACTGTTTTTTTTTCTTTTTCATTTCTCTCTCTCTCTCGCTCGCTCTCTTTTAGAATATAAAATTACGTTCGCACTTAAAAGTGCTTTAGCTCTTAAACAGCACCACACAGAGGTGAAAGACAAGACTAGAAAGGAAGATAGGAAGAAACGTATTTCTGTTGATTTTTCTGTCCGATTGTTTTCTTTTCCCCTGACCTTTTTTTCGTTGCGTCTGCGGGAAAATGCAATTGAACCGACACGTTAAGAGACGATGCGCGTTTCGAGAACAGAATCGACAACTCGCTTAACGGTTACAGAGGACTCATAGCAGTCGTGCGAGTGATGCACATCTTTCGGTATTGTTGAACCACGCTTCGACGGGAGGCGTGGGAGGACCGTTGAATGTACGCAAATACAGCACTCGTATGTGTGTGATTAATGCTACATCTGATTAGCAACTCTCAGAACTCAATGGAAAATCGATTATGAATTCTCATTATTGTGACCCTGTGTATTAGAAAATTTGTATCTAAGATAAATTAGATGAAAGTATAATTAACCCCAAAATCACTTATAAATCGTGAAACGAAATATATTCCGTACGTGCATGTCACTGTTTCTCTTCTAAATTTTACGAGAACCACTAGAATATAGAAATGGAATAACTTCACATGTTTCGTCTGTGATTGTAATTACCATAGACATAAAAATTGTATTTCCAAATTTTAATTATATTTCTATGTCTATGGTAATTACATGCAAACGTATTGGCTAGAATCTATAAAGAGACTACGGTCCTCCCTAGTCCTATGTGTCCACGCGAATAAATACGAATAAAATAAATCCGCTTTTTTCTCTTTCCTTCTCATGTTCCTTTTTAATACGACGGGAGATAATAACAGCGGTAGCGTCCTGGCAACGATGATAAACGTGTAGACAATGATATTTTTACTTCGATCCTTCATTTTTCTTTCCCCTTACACAAAAAACACAGATCTTGATCTATTATGCGATCGTAAGACGTTTACGTTTACGGTGGTACATTCGTTTATATCAAGTATTGAGTTGAAAATCTATCACGTAGTACAAAGAGAGATGATTATGCTATTTTTAGTTTATTAACTTGTATCATATACCGAGAGAAATATCAAGACTACAGTTAACTATATTATTTAGTGATTCGGAAAGAATGTTTGTGGACCAAGATCAGTTAGCCGGAATCAATGAAAATCATCGGATTATTTGTATGGGTGGGTGGTAGGTGTGTGTATGTTGTGTGTGTATGTGTGATAAGTGTTACTGGGATCGTGTGCCGGAGATTTGTAATTTTTTCAAAGTGCAAATTATCTTTTCTTCTTTTTTTTTTGCCTTTTTTATCTTTTTTGTGGTTAGAGAGGATTTTCGTAAAAATTCGGCCATCTTGCCACTTAGAAGTGGTTTGGTAAAACTTTCGGATACATATGTCCAGTTAAGATTTCCATTTTTTTTTGTTGTTTTAAATACTTTTACATCGATGTGACACATGAAATCAATCGCGCTATCCCATTAATTTATATATCCATAGTGTTTCCTTTCTTTCGTTCAGTTGCTTATATATATATAACATATATATATAGAGAGAGATATCTGAACCGTTCGATCATCGAATAATTCCCCTTTCTTCGTTTCCACGTTTCTAAAGCATCCTGCATCGAAGTGAGCCAAAGTCTTACCATTACTCTTATTATCCTTATTATTACGAATTCTCCTACCACGATTTGTGCGCGAATGACACTCGTGTCACCCTAATTTAAAAACATGCTGAATGCTCACTCTCCGTCTTGTATCTCGACGAAAAGAAAAAGAGAAAAATTACTATCATTCCCACATTCATTTTGCTGACTATCACTGACACACACGCACACACGCACACGATTTCTTACAAAGATCAGTTTTTTTCTGTCGTAGCTACAACTCTCTCCCTCTCTCGTTCTTTCTTTCTTTCCCTCTCTCTTTCTCCCTCTCACACACGCGTTATAATCACCTTAACAATACTCACAGTTTTGAAGAAAATAAAGAGATATACACAGAGTACAGGTACCGCCGATGGTTGCAGAAATCATTCGAACCACCGACAAAGGTCGGCTTAATTATAAGGGCCCTAACAAAAATTCCACCCTTCCGTTAACATTCAATTTCGTTTCGAAACATTGTTGCTCCGCTCCACGTGTTTCTCGCGTCTTCGTTTATCACTACTATCATTAGATCAACCAATTCGTATTAATCACGTAACACTTATTAACTGTCCTTAGTGCCATAAAAAATGTCCATTTGGTTCTTTTATATGTAATGTAGTAATTGAAGCAATTTTATATTCATTCGTGTGCGTCCCAAATTATTATACACACCTACTGAAATCTGATTGACATATTCACCTATATAGTTTCCTCCTTCTTTTGCAGTACTGTCGATACCAACACAGGGTAATGAGAAAAGAAACAGATATTGCTCCCTCTCTCTCTCTCTCTCTCTCTAAAAAAATCAATCGATCGCAAACCTCTCGTTTTTTTTCCGGGCCTTTCGATAATCATAAGGACTTTACTTTTCGGAACCACAACTCATTATGGTAGTCCTGTATCGTGATAACTAAAAAAAAACTTGTCTTCCTCGGAGGCAATCGACGCCTCGAACCTTCCGGGTAACAATAAATTCACACTCACACACGTCAATGCAATATTCACAGAAATGATGGTTGAGAGTTCCCTTTCTTTTACAATAGTATAAGAATTGTCTGTCGTCCATTAATCCGGTTTGAGCTTCACTTTGCAATAAAGATACCAATCCGACGATTGGTATATTTTATCCTAAGTGCATGAAGTTGTGACTGTCCACACTCCATTAGATCCCCTTTAGTACGAAGTCGTGGAAAAAGAATACGAGTATCTTGGCCTCTCGATATTCTCTCTAACACAGCTCTACAGTTTCATTTGTTTGCATTTACTGTCTGATCTTTAAATGCGTCTGGTTACGTCTTCCAATTGTGTGGATGGGCCCGCGGTGGAGCCTGATTGCCTTGTGCTTGAGACGCTTGCGACGGAATCATGTCGAGCAAGTATTGGCGTTGCAAATCAGCTGCTTGCCGTTGTAGCTCCACGAGACCCTTACCGCCGGCCTGTGCCATTGCCAGCTGATAGGGATACAGTATCGAGGTAAACGGTGGCATCATATGAGCAGGAAGAGGTTGATGAGGCGGCAGACCTGGCACAGGATTCTTCGCCAACTCTAAATAAAGATGGAAAACATTTTTATTATTCAATGGTTATTACGCAACCCGAAACCTTGAATTTGCAATATTTTACACGTACCTCTGAGCAACTGTTGCTGCAAAGCAGCTGCAGCGGCAGCATGGTGTGGACTGAACTTCCCACTTTCGGCCAATTTAACCAAAGGATGCTCTTGCAGCTTAGGTGCCGGTGGAGTCGGCGCCAACGTAGGTGCCGGTGGTACCTGCGGTGGGGGAGCTGGTGGTGTTGCTACTCTTCTTGTCGGAGTAGCTGCTTTAGGAACTGGTTTCGGAGCTGGTGGATCCGGGCTTGGACAGGCTGCTTGCGCCAACCTTTGTTCTATTTCCTGTTCCTGTTGCAGCGCTTTGACAAACGCTGTCTTTAATCTGCAACCACGTTCACGTGTTAATTAGAATAGTTTCGTACGTGTCAATTAGAATATTTCGATACTGTAAGAAAGTGTTAAGGAATATTTACCCATGGTTTCACCGTAAGTACTGTACTCACCGATTAGTATGCTCAGCTTTCAGAGCTTTCTTAACATTGGTTGTCACGCAATGTTCGCATATAACCCTAGGATCACGACCTGCCGGAGGTCTCTGGAAAGTTGCATGCTGTCCTCTTGGACCTTCTTTTTTACCACCAGTGATTGGCTTCTCCCACTTCCACACAGGCGTGAAGTCCGTTTTACATTGGGTACATTCAAATGGCTCTGGAGGTGGCGGAATAGCAGGCTCTTTAGTAATAAAATCAACTACGTGCTCCAGACCCACCAAATAAATGAACTCCGTATTGGAGGGATTAGGTACGAAATGCATCTCGGGTGGCGGTGGTTTCGGAGGCGGTATTTGTAGCAACGTCTTCTCGAGTTGCTTTCTCAAAGCCAATTTAGCAGCCGCTTGACGTTGCGCAGGTGTCTGATTATCATCCCTCGGTCTTTCCTATAGTTTTAAAAACAAATATCAGCCGCATCTATAACGGTTCGTTGTAATTTTATTCTTAAACTGTCTATAAAATGAAGCATTAATGTTATAGTAAACATGAAAAATAGGAAGGAAAAAGTGGAAGTAGAAGGGGTAAATATAGCGAAAGAAATAATGTGGTTATTGGGAAGACTAGAAAATTTGTACGAAATTTAATATAAAGTTCAGAGTGGCAAGATACTAGATATACTTTGACTAGTGGATATACCTGTTCTGAAATCACAGGTGTGCTTAAGGATGCGGTGGTTTTATTTTCTTGAGATCCGACAAGCAGCTTTGTGTTTACAAAAACACAATTATGGTTATTTACATACTTTTACAAATGGTGTAAAATATTTCACAAAGTGTAACAACAGATAAAGTATTACGTTACTAATGTTTTAAATGTTAAAAAATTATTTTCATTTGAACAAATATAGTTATAAATAAAATGCGTGATATGTTATACCTTACTTACTTGATGTGCCGGAGTAGGAGTTGGATCTTTTGTGGACCTCTCTGTTCGATCTGCTGGTGCATGATAATTTGATACATTTGGTGTTGCACTAGGTGGCCTGCCCCTAGAGTGCGGTGGTTGTGGTATGATCATATTTGGTAGAATTCCAGTACTGGAAGTCGAACTTCGGGCAGCTGTAGGTGGTAGTAACATTCCAGGTGGTGGAGCATGTATACTACTCCTGCTTGGTGCAGGTTGTCCCCTAAGTAAAGGTGGTGGTGCCTTTCCTGTTCTATGACTAAGAAATAGAATTTCGTTTTATTATTAATAAATGAAGATACGTACTTAAAAGGTAAAATATTTGTTTTACCTATGGGGAGTTTGTTGTACTGTAACCGGTGGAGGCAATTTACTGGGTACTTTTGGTACAGCAGCAATATTTTCTTTCAATTGTTGTGACTGCCGTAATTTCTTCAACAACACTAACTTCATTTCCTCAGATCTAAGTTCCTCCCTTAATTTCCTAAGTGTCCTTTCACGTTCAGCTAATTCATCGGATGATAGCTCCTTAATTGGAGGCAGAGGTGGCATATCACCTAGTCAATAGAAATTTAAATATTCAAGATCACATTAATGATATCAATATCAAATGCAAAAAGATATCTTTAAATTCAATTGTAAGCTGTGCTATAATATGAGAACTACAAATAAATAAGCTATGTTTATAGTTAACCTTCATCACTATCTGCATTTCCATTCACGTAGCCATTTATTCTACGTTCATCTGGAGTCTCTGCATAACTTATTTCAATTCTAGGTCTAAGATTACGGCGTGTTTTCCTATCATCTCCAGACTTTGGAGCCAGGATTCCCCTTGTTGCATTTTGTATATTTCGTGCTTCTGGCATATTGTTATCCAGATTAGGACTCGAAGAAGAATGAAGACCTAAATCTAATGGAACTCCTACATCACCAGAGTTAACAGTGATTGACAAAGAGTTTCTTCTGCCACTGCTGCTGAAAAACACATTACACGATATATAATACTATTCCAATATAAGATGCAGTTAAAATATGCAAAGGGAATATGTCAATACCAAAAGAGTAATCAATTTTTATATAAATAACTTCCACTTGTCAATGTTCACATGAAGTCATTTCTCTTACAAGCTACATTATCACGGACCACTGTTATGCATTATGTGCTTTCATTTCTGATAACTTTATTCGTACAACAATAGTCCAATTTCACAATCAGGGTGATGTAAACAACATTAGTCCCAAATTGACATGCTTCTGAATAGTTCACTCTCACACAAGATTGCAATAAAACAATTTCACATGCAAGTGGGAATAACCGAAAAAAAAAAAAAAAGAAAAACGGATCTCTCCTCAAATTTACCTAACACTCAGATCCACCACTGCATCCCCGTCCAAGTCCATGGCTTCCATTCTCTCAAACGCGGCGACTCTATAAAAACACAAGTATTTATTAATAAACTACGATTCATCTGGTGCACTTCGATTGGATCGATTTCAACAATAAAACGACAGAGCGCGATGCAGCACACATTTGCCAGAGGGGAAGAGGAGACGAAAAGTAAAGAGAAAAAAAAAGCAGAAGAAACACTACAAAGAAGCGAACACAGACGTGAGGACAAGGTTTCGCAACACCCGTGATTCGAAAGCGATAGAAAAGATTCACCCCGGGAACAAAAATAACTGGGGTTACCAAAATCTCCGTCCGATCATCCCGCGATTCACGTACACCGGGGCATCGCTCTCTCTCTCTCGTGGATTCCCTCGTTTTTTTCCCACAAAATCACCGTCTTCCGAGCGGGAACGACGCGATCCCACACAACATAGCCGGACAAACACCGGTAGGAACGCGATCGTCACGGGAACGCGCGACAAAAGATTCGTGTACGCTCTGCGAGGCGGCCGATCGGCCGATATCCACGGAAGCAATGTCCTAACCTAACCTCCGCGGAATTCTAAAGACGGTTCGGGCAGGAAGAATACACACGATCCTCGGAATCGTGCACGAGGTACGATATTGGCGGGCTTTACTGGTTCCCCGTCGGCACCACTGCACGCCGCCCGGTGGCCCTTCGGTTCTCGTTGCCACGGCCGAATTTTGTCGCGATAAAAAGTGGCGGCACGAAAATCGAAGAATTGAATTTGATGCTTCGGAAGTGGCGTCTCGGCACAATGGCAGCTAAGCGTAGCGGTACAAGACTGTGGAAGGGGGGAAAGGGGGAGGGGAGAGGGTGCCCTGTACCGTGAGGGGAGAGGTACGGTCGCACATTAATTATTTCTCCCCTCACCCCCCTCGTTCGACGGTCTCTACTCCCTACCACACATCCAGTCAACCACTCACCCACACGAGCGGCATCGGAACGGGCTAGAAACCAATCTCTTTCTCCTTCCCTCCCTATCCCGCCCCCCTGTATTTCTCTTTCGCCCGTTCCATCTGTCTCTCTCTCTGCGGATTTTCCCGAATTTCGTCTCCGTAACTTCTCCCTTGGCCTCGCTCCCTCCCGCGCCCTTATGCCCTACGGGAAATCGATTTTTCGACGGAGTCCCCACTGCTGGCATTCCCGGCCGCAGGGACCAAGGAGGAGTTACAATGTTTTTGCAACGTATATTTGATATCGTCCACGCATCTCGTAATTACTATTGTATCGGGTGAAACCGTGCGCGACCTCTAGGTAATACGACACTATTTACCACTGTTTTTTTTTCTCTCGTGGTTAGGAAGCGTGCCTGATATCGAGGCCGCGGTTTCAGTGAGCATTGTCTTCGCTGATAATAATAACTTTGTTGCGCCGGTTAGATATACAAAGTGACAGATAAAGAAACGAAGGAGAAAATGCAACGGGCAAAAGAAGCCAATGGGACGTATACCCACTTTTTTTTTTAGAATAATTTCATAGATTCTTAGACTATGCGATAGAGTATAGAGTAATGCATTGCTTTACTGTATTTTCAATTGCAGCGAGCTTTACGATAATCTTTTCTTCGTCGTCATAGATTTTTCGTTTTACTATACAAGGTGTCTCGGGTGTAAGCTGAAATATTTTAAGGAGCTTAAATGAAACAGAAAATATTCTGTGATATCGTATCAGACTTGCTTCCATGTTAAGAGTAATAAATATTTACGTTATCTAGTAGACAGAGTCTACTAATTCAACAAATTCTTTTTTGTCCTCTATATGTCAATAGGCTGTGGATGTTTTACAAATTCTTATTTTCGTGATAGATTTTACAAGAACCTGAATTAGAAAACAAAATTGATGAAAAAAAGATTGATCACTCATTAAGGGGTTCGTTTTCTTCATGAAATGGTAGAAAAGATTGATAGTGTCATATACATTGGAATATTATTTTGTACTTAAAATATTATTTAATAATTTGTTTTAGCTGTAATGTACTAAAAATAATAAAACCGCGGAATTTATAGAAAATGGATTCAATTGGTTTAGTTTCCAAAATATTCATTTGTACATGTCATAAGTGCATAAAATCCGCAGTCTACATATGTGTATGCTACCGCTAGGAGGCGGGGGTAGTGCTACAAGAAGTTTTGAACCTAACCTGGTGCGTTTTTTTCTTCGTTTAGCTATTACGATCTCTCGTGAATATGCTTTCAGGGCGTCCTAACGCGAAAGAATTAACTAGTTCACGGAGTTTCTCTCGGATCTCCCGCCTTGCACGCTTTCCAGATCACGTGACAGAGTAGGGTCTCTAAACTCTCGAATTGATATCACAGACTTTTTCATAGCAGTCTCATTAACTTTGTTCACCAATCAACGGTAAAACGATAAATAAACATAAGTAGTACTCGCAAATTTCGATGCTTCGTTTCATCTTCAATTATGTATTTCTTTAAGAAAAAAAAAAAAAACGAAAAAAGTAGAAATAATACTTCGTCGATCATTTACGAAACCGACACGTAAGCGAGTTCACATCGGTGTTATCTAAACGAAAGGAACGTGGGGAAAAAAGAAACACGACCAAAACATACCATAGTCGCGTAACAGCGATTCATATCTATTCGACGTCTCGTCTTCTCTTTTATCATTACGCCGCGGGGAATTAATAAACTCGCTCAAAACGGAATCCGCGATCACGGTGAATCATTCCGATAAGAATTCGCATGACATTCCGTTCGAGTCTAAACCGTTCGTTGGTCAATTAATTCTTTCGAGAATTCAAAATATTGTGGCTCTCAGCATGTCCGAGAGAACTGCTATCGAGGGAGACACGAGAGAACTACTATCGAGGGAGACACGCGAATGCTATCTCCGTTCGGCTCGCTGGGTGACGTACGACGCCAGCTCGCGCGACAGCGACACGCGACTCCTTTATGTTTCCGCGTGCACAACATATTTCCTACTACCTACATTGATAATCGCCCGCGTTCCTTGGAACGGAACGCCACCGAGAGAGTGTTTTGACCCCCCCCCCACACACACATACACACGCGACAGAACGGTCCCCGGCGATCGTGTGGTCAGGATGGAGGTGTACTTACGTACCTGTGCCGTGCGCCGTGTCGGTTGATCAATGAAAAATCTTGGTCCGAGTTTGTGTGAATCGTTCCGGCATACGGAATCAATTACACAAAGGCGGACGAGCAAAACGCGGCGGCTGGCAGAAGATAGAGACGACCAGGCGCGCACACATTCACACACACACATACACACACGGCAAGTTAAGCAGGAGGCAAGCTAGCCGCCGGTCGCTTTCCACTCCACTTCACTTCTCCACTCCACCGCGATATATTACACTCTCTATACTATCGCTTACGTGCAATGACATGGCGCACAACCACGTACCAGCAGTCAGTGTACGCGTACACTTCGGTTCCCTCGAGTGTCCCTCCCAATCACGAGCACGCTTCACCGGCTGGCGATCTTGGACGCACAGTTTCCGCATGTTTCCGTGAACGTTTCTCGCGCGGCGTATCCGCGCATCGCGTTTACCATTTGCTTCGGGCGGGGGAAAAAAATACGAGAGACCGAACAATCTTTCCGCACGGTGTACTACTGTATGACGACGAGAAACACACTAACCACACACAGTTCGGCACTCGGGGCGACGCGTGGCAGCGCGGGCAACCGCGAAACGTTCGCGACCGATCCTGATGTCCCCGGACACAACCTTGAGCCCGCTACCTTCCGCGCAAGGAGAAAAAATTCACGCCGCCTCTGCGCAAAAATTAACGAGAGTGATTCAATATGGCGGCCTTGTCCGCCGTTGATGTCTTCCCCCACCTCCATCGCTCGTTTCGCCGGGCATCGTCGCCCGTCGTCACTCCTCTCCCCCCTGGCCACTGGTCCCAGTCTCTGTCTTTGTCCACTGTTTCTATCTCTGTCTTCGCATCGGGAGGTGTAATGCCGTGTGGTACAGAAAAGCAGTAGGAGGGGTGGTAACGGAGTGAAAGAGCGATGGAAGGGAGGGGTTGCGGGGAAGGATGGGGGGGGGGTAGACAGTGGATCTTGTCGCCCCCGTTGGCCCCCGGTATCGTTTGTCGGGGAAGCGCCGCCGCCAGCTACGGGGCTTACCGGAAGCACCCCACGGACTTTGTAAATGCGCCTACGAAAGGGGCTTGACAGTCGTCTAAACAAATCCCCCACGTGCTTCTGCGCATTCCCGTCCTCTTTCGAACCTGCACCGGTAACCGCCAATCGGGCAACGGCCACCGCGTATTGGAGGGCATTTCAAATTGGATCAGTGTCGCGAGGACGTGTGGTCGCACGAGCTTGTGTGCGCAACGGTCGATCCGTAAAAAGTTGATAGTGTGACCGTCTGATTTTTGTGGTTTTCTTTTCGAAATGGGGATTGTGCAGTTGTCGAGGATACTCGACTACTTCTTGGTATATCTATTATTTGTGCTGTAACTACGGAAAACTGTTTGACGGTCGATAACGATTAAATATTGATTCTATTATCTTGAGTATTGTTTTAAATCTTGTTTTATGAGTGTATATATTTGTATGACGCTCTATAAATAGTATTACACGGAGTGACCCAATTAGCCAGTGATCACTTGAAAGATCTCTGTTGTTTTTCAACGATATCGTTCATTTCTAGTTTTTTGATTGTAGACACGAGCGTCTATCTGGGCGATCAAGATTGCCTTTTATCTGTTTTTAAATGGTGAATACGTTTCAGTATGACGGATATCTGTGTTACAATAGCTGGATACTTTGAACATCGACGGGAAACTGTTACTGTCATACCAGTTGGGACTTGAGGCCAAACATGTGACAAAGTGCTAACGTTTTACCGGCCAGATAACTGGTAATCGGATGAACGGTGATAGGATCACGGATTAAGAGATAACATTCAATAGCTAAATTTAAAGTCTTTGTTCCTCGATAGCCAATTTCTGTGAAATTGTGTACTCACTAGGGGTTCCGGCAAAAGATCAATTTTTGTTTTTAATGAATTGAAGTAATGTAGTGATTTTGACATAATAACGGCCAATGATTTCAAACATTCGATTGATCTCTTCTCCAGAACTATCTCTTCGATCCAAAATAACGTACAGTTGGTTTCAAAAGTATCCTCCCCTTCTTCGCATAATCTGATTAACAGAATCTTTCAGTGAACGAGACTTTTTATCAGAATTAATAAACACAATTAAAATGTAAGTCTTTCCAGAATCTATCTTAGGTTAATAAAAATTTGTCTACCTTCTTAGGGAAACGAAACTTTACTTACACACTGGAGACGAGTGGATACTTTTGGTATTAATTTTGTACGTACTGCAATAAATAAATAAAATTCATCTACATTAATCGTAACTACACAAATGTCACAACTAAAAAAATTTTATTTCCATATAGTGCCGTTCAAAAATTTCGATCATTCGTGAAATTACGAAATCGCTCGGAAAAATGTATTTGCAATTAAATAAATAACTCTTACCCGTCGGTAACCAACCGATAATCACAGGCGATGAAATTACAAAAAAACAACAACATTATGTTTTGTCATGCACGATTTATTAATCCATCGATACATTTTTAAAAATCGATTGATACTTGCGAAAACACTTGATTTCTCTATTCGAGGAAGTGACGTAAAAATCATAGACCGGCGTATTACTCTTCTACGGGACGTTCGATCGAAAGAATACTGTTTTTTACGCAACAACAGTATGTCCAACGCGGTCTTTGCACGTGAAAATCCTCCATCCGTGTCCCCCACGC